GAGAAAAAGATGTACAACTCCCACAGGCCCTACAATTATGGGTAAGCGGGAATGGCAAGGATGGTAAAAGGTTAAATTCAGGGTAAATCAGTGGTTTTGAGCAATATCACAGCCCTCAAACAGCCCTTCAATCAAGACACTCAAATTTGACATTCAAATGAGAGAAGAAATTTCTGGCAAGTTAGTGAGATGATACTATAGCAACTTTTCCCCTCCCCCTCACACTATTCACACTTGTATTTCAAGTTTGGAAATGCTATTTGCAAGCAATATGAAAGTATTCATGAAGAATGCATAATCTCTGAAAATTATGAAAGCATCCCTGGTACCAAAACATTTCTAAATATAAAACTGACTACCATATTTGTTAGTTCTGTGTAGTGAAAGATGTTCATTTTCAAAACAGATAAAATTCAGTCTTTACATGTGAATTATAGCAACTTCTTCAAGGGAAACAAAAATTACTGTGTAAAAATACAAGAATTTTTACTTATTTTTTACTATTGATTACTTTTCAGAAACAAATTACCCTCTCTTTGTGTTATGTTGATGAAAAGAAGTTGGAGCTGGGGTGCTGATGGCTTATGCCCATAAACCTATCAGCTTGGGAGGCAGAGATCAGGAAGTTAGCAATTTATGGGTGCTGGTAAGGGAGTTGGGAGTTCCCAAGACCCCCATCTCAATCAATAGCTGGGCACAGTGGTCCACACCTGGCATCCCAGCTATGCAGGAGACTGAGATTAGGAGGATCACAGTTCTAGGCCAGCCTGGGGAAAAAAAGCTGGCAAAACCCCCATCTTAATGGAATAAAGCTGGGCATAGCAGTGCATGCTTGTCATCCCAGCTATGGTGGGAAGCCTAAATTAGGAGCATCATGGTCCAGACTGACCTGGGCAAAAATGCATGAAAATATTATTTTTCAAAAATAACAGAGAAAAAAGGGCTGGATGTATGAGTCAAGTGGTAGAGCACCTGCCTAGTAAGTGTGAAGCCCTGAGTTCATAACTCTAGTACTGCAAAAAGAAAAAAAAAAAAGACTTGTGAAAGGGCATGTGGGTCACACTCGAATCTAGATTCTCTAGGACCAAGCCAAGTCTTTCCCACTACATTGGGTTGCCTCCAGTTTCAGACATTAGTCAAACTGCTAATTCTAGACCATGTTCCAAGGATATATTTATGTTATAACTGTGTCCTTTAAAATGCAATTATCTTCTGCTTCCATTCACACCTCAAGTAAAATTCTAGAAACTCAATATGAAGGGAGAAATTGAAGTTTTTAAGACCAGTCACCCATCTAATTATCAAATACCTTAACAACATCCTGGAATATCACTTACAATTTGAAGTGGCTGCTATCTTCCTCATATGTAAATATCTAATCTACATCTGCTGTGACTGGACAATTGAAAAACAGCTGGTTTAAATGACAGTACGGCATAAAGTTAGAAAAGCCTTCTGGCTAAAAATTATTAGAATGTAGGTGATGGGTATAAGGAAAGTTATACAATTTTGCTATTCTAAAATACCTTTTCAGAAACTCAGAATGTGCTATTTTTCTTCATCTGCTATAAGAATCTGTCAGTATTTCATGCAGGTTTAAGAAATCCAATATGCTGGGTGCCAGTGGTTCACACCTGTAATCCTGGCTACTCAGGAAGCACAGATCAGGAGGATTGAGGTTCGAAGCCAGCCCAGGCAAATAGTCCCCAAGACTATCAAAAAAACCCATCTGGTAGAGTGTCTCAAGGTATAGGCCCTGAGTTCAAGCCCCAGTACCACAAAAAAAAAAAAAAAGAAGAAGAAATCCAACAGCATGGGACTGGTGGAGTGGCTCAAGTGAGAGAGCACCTGCCTAGCAAGCACTGAAACCTTGAGTTCAAACTCTGGTACCAAAAAAAAATTTCCAACAGTGAAAAGTTGTATTAAGAAAGAATCAATTTGGTAACTAATGAATCTAAATTTTATTAATCTTATTAATCTTTTTATTGTCTTAATGGCACATCTAAATGTCCCCTGCTACACTTGGATATGCTTAAAAACACTGATTTTTGCTGCATCTGGAGAATGAAATATGGAATACCTATCAGAAGTTAATAATTTTTTAGGCTCTTGCTAGCATTCTAATGATTTAATTTAATTTTTTTTTTTTTTTTTTTTTGAGACAAGGCCTCACTATGTAGCCCAGCCTGGCCTGAAACTCACTTTGACCTCAAACTAATGATCCACCTGCCTCAGCCTCCCAAGTGCTCTAATAATTGATCCTAAAAGTAATTTTTATTTATTCACTTACTTTTATTTTTCTGTAGTTCTAGGGATCAAACCCAGGGCTTTGTGCATACTAGGCAAGCCCTCAGCTCCTAAAAGTTCTTTAATGAGTATGACTATAAAACATAATTCAGCTGAATATTTAGCCAATCTCTGAAACCAATTTTAGATCATTAGCTATAATATGCCTACTTTTAAATTTACATAGCAAACAGGAATAAATGTAGTTAAGAAAAAAAAATCTGATTTCATGTTTTAATAAAATTTAGAGGAATAAGCAGAGTACAAATGGCTTTGAGGAATGTGTATAAACACATATATTTAGCTTAAGAGAGTCACAAGGTACAGTTTTTCCTCAATTCTGAACATGGCTGTTTGGAGTATACCACATGGGTTATCCTTTCCTGGTCATGAAATACTAAAAGGTAAATTACATATTTTGACAGTTCAAGGTTTGAACTCAGAGCACTGCCCTTACTAAGCACTCTACAACTTGAGCCATGACTCCAGTTCAAATTATGTATTTCAATAGTTGCAATTCCCATTTGCATAGCACTTTATGATTTTTGAAGAGCTCAAAGATACCTCATTCAAGGATGACAAGGCAGATTATCTATGATCACTATGTAGATGAAAAACCTGAGTCACAGAATAAGTCACTTGCCCAAGGTCAAAAGCCAACTAAAATGTAAAGGTAGGTCTGTCTTAACATTGATTCATTCAACAAATACCTACAATGCCAAAATGCACTAGGGGCTGATAATGGTAGGTAGAGACAAAGACCATGCTCTCCAGTTTAATTATAATGAAAGAGAGACAAAAAAATAACATAAGGTAATTTCAGGTAAATGCTATAAAGAGAACATGGAAATCAGGTAAGATTGCAGAATAGCATAACCAGAGTGATCAAGAGTGGTTTCTCAATAAGGAGAGATCACACAAAGTCTACACAAGTAATAATAGTAGGACATGAATGTAAAAGGGGGGCTGTTAGGTGGGATCAGCAGAAGGGGGTAGGGAGAAGAAATGATACTGAGTGAAGAGGCACAGAGGCACACACACACACACACACACATACACATACAAAGAAAGCATAATGAAATATATCAAACACTGAAGGGAGGAGGAATGGGAATAAAATGGAAGGGGTGAACTTGTTCAAAGTACACTGTATGTATGTATGGAATTATCACAATGAAATTCCCTTGTATTATTAATGTCTACAAATTCAAAAAGCATCCCACGCAGAGGGAAGAGCTCATATAAAGTCTCAGATGCAGGAAGATCTTGGACAGCAAGGGGGACAAACAGCTGGAGATGAATGCTTAGAGATAGTTGCTTGATTATGTGGAGTCTTCAGAACACTCTAGGAAATAGAGTTTAAAGTGCAATTGGAATATATACAAGATGTGATTTGTTTTTCAAAAAATCACTAAGCTTTTGTGTAAAAAATGGATTGTAATACAATAAGGTAGAGGAACTTCTGAGCTTCAAAAAAGTACTGATAACATTCCATTCCTTGTGGAATATTTCTGTAGAACAGGAACATGGGTGCTTACTATTTTTGAAAATCTTATATATTATAGACATTTCTGTACAAAATTACATACATATATATATATATATAATATATATATATTTTTTAAGTAAATTGTAGGGGCCAGTGGCTCAAACCTGTAATCCTAGTTACTCAGGAGGCAGAGACCAGAAGGATTGTGGTTCAAGTCCAGTCAGGGCAAAGAGTTTGAGAGACCCTATTTCAAAAATATCCAACATAGAAAAGGGCAGGTTGAATGGCTGAAGTGGTAGAGTGCTTACTTAGCAAGTGTGAGGCCCCGAGTTTAAACTAGTACCGCTAAAAAAAGTAAATTGTAGAGATGTACGGGAAGGAGAGAAAGCGACTGGAGTGCTGTTCTAACAATTCAGGAGTAAAATGATAGTAACTTGGACGAGGGTGGGGGCAGTAGGGGTGAAAGTAATGGACCTTAATAATATACACTGGAAGGCTGGAGGTATGGTTCAAGCAGTAGAGTGCTTCCCTAGCAAGTGCAAGGCCCTGAGTTCAAACCCCAGTACCACTAAAAAAACAAAAACAAAACAAGTACACCGGCAGTATGGTCAACAGGGTCTTCCTGCTGGAGGGGAGAGACAGGTACAGAAATTAAGGCTAATCATTGGTTCTCATTTTAATTTTGCCCTTCAAGGCATATTTCTATGTCTGAAGCCATTTATTTTTTGGTTGTCACAACCTGTTGTAAGTTGGAGGGGTGCTAATGTTGCCTGTGGGTAGACATCAATTATACTACTAAACATACTAGAATGCACAGTAGTACAGCAAAACAAAGATATATCAGGTCCAAAATGTCAACAGTGCTGAGGTTGAGAAATCCTGGTGTAGACTGGTTTCAAAGGTTCCATTCTAGAATATTATTTCCAGGAGTACATACAAAAAAATATTAGAAATGAAGTTCTCCTTACATTCAATATTTAGAGAAAACTATAAACTATGACATTTATGAAATAAAGGTTGTTTGGGGGTATATTACATTGATCAGAAGGTCTAACTGGTGTAGCAGTCTAATAAAACAAAAAATCAACTACTCATTAATAAATGTTATTTCTTGGACAGATTTACTAAAAAAAAAAAAAAAACTTGAAAAATTTCTATTTATCGGTACAACCCAATACTGCTTTTATAGCTTTCCTATATACTGCTATGATTAAATCTGCTGTTCAATACATTCACTGACTTTCCAAATACAACTTCCACAAAAATGTAAGGTAATAGCTATGAACACTGAAAAAGACAATCAGTGGTATAGGTACAAATGGATGAGAGCCAAAGCTGATTAGAAGGAAATCATGGTCCATTTACTGTTTAGTTAACTGAGTTATTTTGGCCCTTGAACAAGAGGACACTTTAGTTTTAGGTTATCTGGAAGACTGTAGTATACTTTTCTCTCAATCACTCAAAGAGTAGCAATAGGAGAAGTATTTTTTCAAAACTAATTCACAGAAGACAAAAGTGCCACAAAGATAGGAAAAATTCATTTTTTTTCTTTGTTAACTAAATGTAAATAACGGGGCGGGGGGAAGAGATCAGTGTGATATGCTTAAGTATGAACAAATAATACCTCTAAAGCAACCTATTCACTCCTGGAACTACTACAATTAATGCAGATTACCTATGATCTGCCCAGGAAGGTCCCAAGAAAAGAAATAATTTGCTAAATAGAATTTGCCAGGGAAAAAAAATCATGTAGTCCGGGGATGACAATTCAGAACATTACACAGGTGGATGGGAAGAACTACTTGTAAGAAGCTACCAAGTCAATTTTGGCCCAGAAATGAATGCTGTTCCTAATTATAAGAACCTCAAAAAAAACTGGCCAAAGATACACGACACTATCACTTAGTCTGACTAACTTTTGGGAACAATCACATTTTTAAAACACAAGGGGCAGTCCTATTGTCACAATCCGCTCACATTATTTTAAATAAAAACTAGGAAATCAGGTCGAGAATAGAGCTCCAACCTGAATTCATCCCCACTTGTGATAAGATTTAAAAATTCTGACAGTCTAGGAGCAAAATACAGGGACACTTTACTACCCTGAAAATCATGCCGGGTTCCTACTAGGCCAGACAGACATAAGTTTTCGGGCCGTCACCATCACCGCGCGGCGTCCGGAGCGCGTTTCTCCCAGGCGCTCTCCCCGCCGCAGCGCTCGCGAGACACTGTTGCGTTGTCGTCACGCCCGTCGGCGTCAAGCCCTTCCCCACGGATACGCAAAATGACCCCCGGCGGAAAATTCTTCTGCACTAGCTCCCTGAGGCGGAGGCCGGTAAGAAATGACTCCTTTTTCTTCGAACTTTCCGCAGCCCAGAACCAAATGCCGTAGCCAGGCTCACCCACAGACTCCAAGGAACAATTACCCAACCTCAGCCCAGCACGAGGAGAGGCGGCGCCAAGATAAACCTATTTTTACGAACGCTTAAAGCAAGTCTCGCGACATTGTAACATCTCCTTTCTCAGCCCCACCCCTACGTCATTGCGTTATCTCAGAAACGTCGCGAGATTTCCGCCTTTCAGTCTCCGCCCCTTTACGGCACGATGGTCGCGCAAGAATGTGATAGAGCCTCGACGGCCGCCATTTTCTTTCTTTCTTAGCAGTTAGCTGAGCGGAGATCTCTGAGAAGAAGCGGCAGCGGCTACTGTAGTGTAGCCATGGCAGACTATTCAACGGTGCCTCCACCCTCCTCTGGCTCAGCTGGTGGTGGTGGCGGCGGCGGTGGCGGTGGAGGAGTTAACGATGCGTTCAAAGATGCGTTGCAGAGAGCCCGGCAGGTAAGTCCGGACCGCGCGGCAGGCTTCCTCAGAGCTCCCGGTACACGGTAATTGGCCGCTAGCTGTGTGGGCCGCTGCGGGTTAGCGTATATGAGGATGAGGAAGAAGATGCCCTTCCTTCCTGGCAGAGATGTGAGGAGACGCCCGTTTCTCCACGTTGGTAGTAGCGACTGGAGACCACAACTCGTAGTTTTGTGCTCTCGGCGTTAGGATCCCAACGCGTGCTGCTTCAGCGTGGCCTGAAGACTTTTTCCCACTTGCTCCTCGGGGAAGTTAGCCTCGAGTCCGTTTCTTTTCCCGGGGTGTGAAGCGCGCGCACTTGCGCACAGTGGCGTGGAAGGTTCTGGTAACTGGTTTGTGTCGCGACCCGAGTCTGTCTCTGGCAGCCGCGGGACGGGGAGGGATTTGTCGTCAAAGCGGTCTTTCCCACTTCAGCCCTTGGAAGTGACCCCCGCAGTTACAGGCGCTTGCGGCCTCCTTCCTCTCACAACCATCTGGAAGAGACTCGGGGCGGCCTTGCTCCGGGCGGGATTCGGAGGCCGGCTCTCAAGATGGCCTCGAGCCGTTCTCCCCGAGCTTTCAGTGGGAATCTGCCTCTGCTCGGCCGGTCCCGGCCGGACCCGACCGACTCTTTGTGTCGCGAGGGGCGCGCTTTCCCGGGCCAGCGCCGGGAGACGGAGGCTGATCGTAGCCCCGACTTCACCTTTTTAGATAGTCAGAATCCCTGCTGTCCGTATGGCCTTGTACAGGAGCTAAACCAAAAGTGTTACTTACTCGCGTTAGGACACTGCAAGTCGTGCCGCTCTCGGTGCCACACTTGACATTTTAGACTCTCGTGTTAGAGAACGGTAATTAGAAACCAGTTTTGATTATATTAGGAGTTTACTTTGTTACAGTTGTTTCCTCCAGTATGATTAAAGGATTACTGAATCAATCAAAATTTTTACATAAATAATGGAAACTTTTTTTTTTTTTTTTTTTTTTTTTTTTTGGCGGTAGTGGAGGTTGAATTCAGCCCTCATGCTTACCAGGCAGGTGGTTCTACCATTTGAGCTACCCCACCAGCCTGATAATGGAAGCTTTTAAAGTGTCAATTGAATACTTGCTTTCTAGGAAGGTATGACATAATATAAAATATGGACACTTAATTCAACCTCTTGAGTGTTTCTACTCTGAGTCAGGCATTGTACAAGACACCAGAAAAGGGGCACCTACTTGCTTAATGTTTAACTAGTGGCATTTGTGCCAGGCATTAAAGGAATGAGTGAGGGTTTGGCTAATAAAAGAAACAACATGTGCCCATGGTAGGTACTCAGCATTTATTAAATCGAACCAACAAATATCTTTGATGAATTAAAGCAGTGATGAAATTTTGTTTTGAAAGTAATTGTGTTAAAAATACATAATATGGGGCTGGCAGAGTGGTTCAGTGATAGAGCATCTGCCTAGCAAGCTGGAACCATGGAGTTCAATCCTCAATCCCCAGTGCTGCAAAAAAAGAAAATGCATAATATGGCTGTGTCGTTTTTCACAAGTTGAATGCAAGTGTGTCTTTGATCAAGGTGAATAAAAACCTGTTAAATTTTAAAATTAAATATTTGAAATTTTGTGTGTCCTGTTTTCAAATCGAATTATATATTATGCGCTGATTTGTTCATGATAACTAGCAATTTGTTGAGGATATATACTACATACTAGGGTCTGCAGTAAGCGTATCTTGTGTTGATTCATTTAATTTTCACAACCATCCTACTAGGTAGGTGAGAAACTACTATCCCATTTGTGCAGTTATGGTAAATGCACAGAATGCTTAAAAAAATTTGAACAGGACACAAAGCTCTAGAAAGCAGTAGAACCAAATTTACAGCACCACCCCAAAACGTAAAGGAGGCATAAGTAGATTGAAGATTATAAAACAGACATTTCTGGCATTTAGGTAATCTACTTAATTATCCTCTGAGAATGAGCTTTTTTGGAGGAAGGGAAAAAAAAAAAAACAAAAATCAAGTGGTATGGCTGGCCAGTGTCTCTTCAGTTTCCTCTCAACTCAAATTTCTGAATTTGAGGACTAGTTAGAGAAGATGGAATTTTTTTTTTTTTAAGAGAGAGAAGGGAGGATATGAAAGGGGGGGGTGGAAGCATTCAAAAACTTAGAGCAAGGTTCAAATGGAAAGCTTAAATTATTTTTGTAAAGTCAAAGTAGTAAGTTACCCACACTTAATGTATGTCTAATAAGAATTAGTTATATTGGGAAGTTGGTTTTTAGGAATTATTACTTCTCTTAAATTAATCTTTGTAGTAACCTAAGAATATTTTTGATTGATTTTACAGAATTGTTGATCAAATCTGTGTTGGCACATTTATTAAAGCTCATCTAATGTCTTTGTATTGATTTTCAATTTTTGATATCATATTATTACTTTAAGTATCAACTTTCATTTTCATTTGAATTGTTTAAGAACTGTTCAGGTAATGTATAAGTATCCTTGTCCTATGAGAAAGTTCCTTAGAGTTCAAGTGCTGCTTTGCAAATTCAGAGCATTTATAAAAGACAACTGCTAAAGGTACTCATAGTCTAAACCATTTTCCTATTGTTAGTGATACTATACTTCTCACCTCAAATACTTTCCTTTTAACATCAGTGCCTATCAGTCCTGGGCAGTGTATTTAAGCTCCGAAAAGTTACAGGTTTTGAAACAAATGTAGAAGAGCCATGTTTTTCACTGTGATTAGGAAAACCCTGGAAAGAAGATTAAATTAGATATCCCAAGATTATAATAGACTGTTGAGAAAGAAAATTCTTGAATGTACTATTAACATCTTCCTCGGTTTCCCAGTTATAACTTGTGGCAATTGGGTAAGTTTTACGTCAAGATCTTGAGTCCATTGCATATCTTTGATAAGAACGTGAAACACGACAGTGTGAAGTTTGCCCTTGTCAGTAATTTGTTCCATTTCCCTTTCATAAAATAGTGTGGTAAATTTCCACTAGTTGTGCCCTACTTGTGGCTCGAAGCTGGTATTTAGTCAACTGCAAGGCATTATTTGCCCCACCCTTAAAAATCATTTAAAGATTTTTTAAAATCTTTACTTAAAATTATGGCTCCATAGATACAATTTTCTTAGACTAAAACGTTCCAAGTTCCTGTATGTATCCTTAGAATGGCATTGTCTGAGAAATACAATGTAAGCCATATTTTTAACTCTACATGTCTAAAATACCCTTTTGAAATATGTTTAATGTAATGTTTTTGGAGATGCTGTACATCTCACCTGGCGCCTGGCTTATGAGCACAAAGAGAACCTCATAAAGTTATCTTATGCTGCCCACACGTCTTTTGAAGAGTCACGGGAGAGCCATGGAGAAGATAGAATTGGGTTCCAGATTTTCCTGAAAACTATTTACTTTATTCTAAAGATTCCTAATTGAGGGCTGACTTAAGTGGTGGAGCACCTGCTTAGTAAGCGTGAGACCCTGAGTTCAAACCCCAGTACCACCAAAAAAAAAGGTTTCCTAATTGATTACTACTTTGCTGATTTTTTTTTAATAGTAATGTATCAGGAGCTTAATTTCCAACCACAATCACTGGTTAACTCCCTGAAGTTTTGATGATAGTGTAAAATTGAGTCATGGTTTTAGTTTGGCTTTTTATCTAATTATGTAAAGAATATTTAGCATATACATGTATTGGGAAATGAATGAGGAAATTTAGTACTAAATAGTATATGGTAGTTTGTATTACTATCCTTAATGATGGTATGTTTTTGTTTTTTAAGATTGCAGCAAAAATTGGGGGTGATGCTGGTACGTCATTGAATTCAAATGACTATGGTTATGGGGGACAAAAAAGACCTTTAGAAGATGGAGGTAAGTTACAGCCATAAGCAGTATTAATTGTTTTGCACACACTATTTAGTTGAAGTGATTTTTAGTGTTATTATATTGATACATTACTTTTATTATAGAGTTCCTAAAATTGTAAGGTTTATATTAACTTCAAAAGGAAAGAGGAGACTTGCACAAGGTAGGTAAAATTTGAATTAACCAGAAAGTTTCGTATGAATAGAAAGCAGTTTACTTTTCCTCTTTTTTGGATTGCGACAGATTGACAAGTTGCACAGACTTCTCATTAGTACTACTAAAAGCAAAACAAAAAAAATTGTTTAGGAAACATTTCACTAGTTTTTCTTATACATAATCTTTATCTACTGTGTTTTCACTATGTTATTATTTCGGATTTCATGGTAAAGGTTAAGGTTGCTACATTTTGTTACTCCAGTGTATTTTGTTGCAGGTTATACCATTTTTATGTGGTTTCTTTGTTTTGTTCTAGTACTGTGTTTTGTGTTTCAAGATTAACTTAAAGTATGTGAATTAAAACGAAGGATTGATAGTGCTTTGTATTTTTTAAAAAATAATTGGTGAAGCAGCGAACTTAGAAGTTTGCATTTTTTTGCTTTTTTTTTTTTTAGGTTTGATATGTGAATTTTGATACTTTTCTTTTTTTGCATTTTTTTTAAAGTATTCTGACCAAATTAATAGAATGTATTTGTAGCTTTGAACAGGAGTACTTGGTTTCCTATTAAGTGTCTTTCATATTTATAGTCAGATTTTTAATATACAAAAAAGTGAGCTAATGATGCTTCAGATGTTGTATGTAATGTATTCTTTTTATTTTATGTGTAGATGGCTCTTGGACAAGTCCGAGCAGTACAACACACTGGGAGGGAATGCCCTCTCCTTTTAAAGGCAGGAATTTTTATTTATTACCTGTGTTTAGTATGTAAACGTGAAATAAACCAGTGGATTCTTAAATGGACACACATCTCTTGGATTGTGTGTCTGAATTTTTGCTGCATAATAGTCGTTATGTTTACCATTTGAGTTAGAAGGGGGGAGGAGAAAATAGTAATTTTCAGTTATAGGTTGTCTATTCAAAGGTATGCCTTGTATTCATTTGTGTAACGGGTTTAGATGAAACTTGCTTTGAGTTTTTCTCTTGGAATTTTATGCAGTGAAATGCTTTGTTTAGGAATAATAGAACAGTTTAAATTGAGACTGCCTTGTAACATGGTGGTTTTGTTTTGTTTTGCTTTTTGTGAGCTTTGTGGTCACTGTCAAATATATATGCTCAGCTTTTAATATGACAGATTTTTACATTTTGATCATCCCCCTTCCCCCCATCTTCAGTTGCTACAATGGAAGCATCATTAGCTTTTAGCACGGTATATTGCTAGTAATGGAGCTAAATACTTTGACTTGTATCATTCTAAAGTGCTTAACATACCTTAAGGTTAGTAATTTGATACAATCAAAGAAAAATTTCCTTAAATGTCTGTGCATCTTTTAACATGAAGAGAGTGAAAACATTTTTCTTTAGATTGAGTCTGAGTTGAGTTTTGGCAAATTTGGTTCAAGTGATAAACCATTCATCAAATACTATAATAAATGTTTATTGACATACTTGGTTGGGGCGGGGGAAGCTTTGTACTTATTGGCAAAATTTAAAAGTCTCTCAATTTTGCAGATCAGCCAGATGCCAAGAAAGTCGCACCTCAAAATGACTGTAAGTATTTGTTTTAAGCTTAGGTTTTGTTCCTGTTTTTGATGGACATTATTGAAGTTGGTTGGTGTTTAGAAAGTCTAGCCTGAATTTCTTTGCAAATATTATTTACTCCAATTCTTTATCTATGCTTGTACCACTTGAAAAAGGAAAGTGGCTTTGCTGTATGCCATTGCTAATATGTTCACTTTTTCACTGGTTTTACTACCACAGTCAGTGCTGACTTGAATAGTCTACATAAAATTTTGAATGCTTAATGTGATCGTGTTAAATTTTCAAACTTAAATTTTGGATTTTGTTTAATTTTTTGGTAGCTTTTGGAGCCCAGTTGCCGCCGATGCATCAGCAGCAAAGGTATAGTCAAAAGCTTTTTTAAAAATACTTTTTTTTTTTAAGTCTTAGATGAGCTGTATATACAAACAACAAAATTTGAGTGGATAGTGAATATAGACATGTCTATATATATTTTAGTATATGCATTTCATTTCCTTTCACTGTAATGGCAGAGTGATCATTTTTCTTTTTGAGTGAGATATATTTATAGTTTGGAAAGATAGGTAGAATCGCCACAGTTTAGAAGGACAAACGTGAATTAGAATGACTGTTAAAATGACAGTCCCTGAACTTTACTCCTTTGTAGTTCATGCCTTCATACTTCCTATTCAATTCATCACCACTTCCTCACTTGATACGTGTCACCTTATTTACAATTCTTGGCTTAACTAATGAGGCTGTGAATATGTGCCTAGAACCTTCCTTTTATTAATAGATTACCTTTTATATGTAAGCATACTATGTTTCTTTGAAGGAAAAAAATGTTTCTTTCCTAGCAGATCTGTAATGACAGAAGAATACAAAGTTCCAGATGGAATGGTTGGATTTAGTAAGTAAACTAATTTTTAAAGCTTTTTAAAAATATTTTTATTCATACATCAATACAAGGGGATTTCATTGTGATGATTCCATACCTTAAAGTTTTAAAGGCATAAAGCACACTTTAACCTTCCAGCAAATAGTTTTGTTTGTTTTTTTTTTGTTTTTTTTTTTTGACTAGTAATCGGCAGAGGAGGTGAACAGATCTCACGCATACAGCAGGAATCTGGATGCAAAATACAGATAGCTCCTGGTAACATTACTCTCTTTGTATTTTTTTTCTTTTCATTCTTTGTGTTGGGGGTTGAAACCAGAGCTTTGTACATGCTAGCAAGCATTCTACCCCTGAGCTACACTCCCAGTCTTGGTACTTTTCAAAGTGATAGAAAACTTGCCTTTTTTTTTTTCCTTTTCTTAAGGTACTAGTGATAATGATAATACTTTTTAATCTTTTCTTAACCTAAAATTTTCTTTCCTTTTTTTTTTTTAATTGTAGACAGTGGTGGCCTACCAGAAAGGTCTTGTATGTTAACTGGAACTCCTGAATCTGTCCAGTAAGTATGAAGATTCTGGATATTGTTCACTACCGCTTCTACACCATTGTCTTCCTGCCCCCTTCCCTGAAAACTGAAATTTTTGAAGTTTATGCCTCGTTCCTTTCTTGTGGGATTTGTCATCTGTGCTATATAGAACACCAAAAATGATTAAAACCAACATCATGTTTACGCAGTTTGCTACTTGAGAAACTGAATAGGGCCTTCAGAGAAATTCGCAACCATGGAGGCAAGTGGTAAAGCGCCTCCTTTACAAGTGTGAAGCCCTTAGTTCAAACCCTAGTCCCACTAAAAAAAGAAAGAAAAAAAAAATGGCCATGTCAAACTGGTGTCACCCAAAACTCATAACCATTAAGCTCATGAGGATTTTTGTTTTGCCTGTAATTTCCATTCATTCTCTTCTACTCTTCTCTAAGGTTCTTTGATACTGTTTCGTCTCTGCACCTCCAAGTCTTTTAGCATCTAATCCCTTTCCCACTTAAGCTTTTTTACTGAGAACATAGAAACAAGTCATAAGCAACTTTCCCCTCTCTGCCTACCACTAAAACTTAACCAGCCTTCATTTGCACTTTTTATGCATGGTAATCAGATACTGAATTCTTTTTAGTCATTTACCAAAGGCCAGCCCTTGCTATTTCAGTTGCACAATTTTCCTATAATTATACTAACTTTATAGTGCATTACTGGTTTTCTCTTTTAGGTAATTTCTAATAGTATACAGGCGTGTTTGGAACTTTTTCCATCTTAACAGAAACCAGCTTTGAACCCTATATTCTGTTTGTCTGCTCCCAAAAACATTCCTTAAAAGAGGTGTCTATACTTGGTACATCCTCTTGTTTTCCTTTTTTTCCACCTTAAACTTGTACCAGCCAAGCTTTTATTCTAACCATTGCGTTGAAGTTTCTCTTTTCAAGGTCACAGACTACAGTCTCACCATTCAGCCTGTCAGCAATGTTTGACACAGTAGACTATTCTTTGAAATTCTAGATTTGTTTGGTTTTGGAACACCTACTTCATTGACTTCCCTTTCTCAGTCTTACTCTGCTTTTCTTCCTGGTCCCTCCATGTGCAAGTACACCAAATCCTCATATATTTTCATTCTGAATTTCTTTCCTAAATTGCAGGCTTGAATATCTAGTTACCAAGTATATCTAAATTTATTTTATTATTATTATTTATTTTTGTATGGTGCTGGAGGTCAAACTCAGGGTGAATGCTAAGGCTATACTTTACCATTAAGGTATATCCCCAGCCCCAGACAACATTAAAAACAGTGCTTGATTCCCAAGATGCTTTTTATTTTATGCATGTTCTCTCATGGTATAGCAACTTTGTTGTGATACTTTTTATCACATGCCTCTTTTTTTTTTTTCTTCATATGTGGATATAATGTTTGGGTCATTACTCCCCCCTTTCCCCCACCCTCTCCCTCTCTCCTCTCCTCCACCCCCTCACTTCCAAGCAGAAACTGTTTTAACCTTATCTCTAATTTTGTTGAGGAGAGAGTATAAACATTAATAAGGCGGACCAAGGGTTTTTGCTAGTTGAGGTAAGGATAGCTATACAGAGAGATTCCTAGCATTGCTTCCATCACATGCCTCATTTATCCATAAATTATTCTTGGTCTTTTTTTTTTTTTTTTTTTTTTTTTTTTTTCATTATTTATTCAGAAGGTACCCTTTTGTTACCTTCTACACTATATGATGCATTCACCTATATTATTGAACATGTCTTCAGCTCCCCTTTTTTTTGGGTTGTATTGGGGTTTGAACTTGGCCTCACACTTGGTGACAGGTAGGAGTGCTACCCCTTGAACCATGCCCCCAGTCTTGATTCATTTTATCCTTGTTCCAAGATAGTCTATTATTCTACTGGTGTAATCATACTGATCCATTTTGTTCGAGCACCATTGCCTCCTTTCTAGTCTTCCATCACACCAAGCATTTACCTTATTTGAGTCCTTTACATTTCCATTTTTTCTTCCTGTAAGATTTCATTCAGATATTTTCATGGTAACTCTCCTTCAGTTCTTAGCTCCTCTGTATCTATTAGTAATGCCTCCTGTGTCTATTTGGGGGTGGGGGGAGTTGATTTGGTTTTGTCTTACTATATATTCCAAGCTGGCCTCAAACTGGTAGTCCTCCTGCCTCAGCCTTTTCAGTGCTGGGATTACTGGCATGCATTCCCATGTCCAACTTTCCCATATCTATTTTATGTATAAAATAACATTCTTTCACATGCATGCCCATCCATTCTGCTTTTGTCCTGCTTTGATTTTTCTTTATGGCACTTTACAAATGATATTTATTTAATGTATGCTATTGTTGCTTACTTAAAGAAGTTAAGCAAATGTTAAACAAAATGGTGGTTTAAAAATGTAAGTAGTGTTTGGGGGTGTAGCTCTTTCTAAGCCAGTGCTTAGAAGGGCTGAGGTCACCTTGGGTTCAGTACTCAACACCAAAAAAAGTAAATAATTTGCTTCTAGGGGAATCAGCTTAATTCTAAGATACTTTTAAAATTAGAGTGTTCTTTTATGGAATGTTTTTGGACTATTCAAAACTAAAATTGTATTTCTAGAAAGTTATTTGCAGTTTCAAGCTTGGATCCTTGGGGACGTTTTCTTGTAGTTCAAAGTTTGAAAACATTGTTAAAATTAGTGTTAGAGTACTTAATCCTGAATTATATTTCTCTTTTTGGAAAGGATTGGCTGTACTACACTTTATTATTTGAATATTAATATGTCAACAGATCTGCTAAGCGTTTATTGGACCAGATTGTTGAAAAAGGAAGGCCAGCTCCTGGCTTTCATCATGGTGATGGACCTGGAAATGCAGTCCAAGAAATCATGATTCCAGCTAGCAAAGCAGGATTAGTTATTGGAAAGGGGGGAGAAACTATTAAACAACTTCAGGTATTATTTTGTAAAATGATTCCTTTTTGGTCTACTTTGAAGCCTGCTTTCATCTTCCCCCTTTTGTTAATGCACGTGATTTTTAACAGGAACGGGCTGGAGTTAAAATGGTTATGATTCAAGACGGGCCTCAGAACACTGGTGCTGACAAGCCTCTTAGGATTACAGGCGACCCATACAAAGTCCAAGTAAACTTCACTTTATTCTTTTATAAAGAGGTTGGGTGGGATTGGGCAAAATGTGCATGAATAATTAAAATGTTTTGAGACATACTTCTTAAATTGGGTAACTCTTTCTACTTTAGCAAGCCAAGGAAATGGTGTTAGAGTTAATTCGTGATCAAGGTGGTTTCAGAGAAGTTCGAAATGAGTATGGGTCAAGAATCGGAGGAAATGAAGGGATTGATGTAAGTAATGACACCTTAACAGAAATGGTCGTATGCTAATCCATAAATACAGTAGTGTTTTCCTGTTTGCATTGGATGACCTTTTCTAACATTGTGTCCTTTTTTTTCTCACTTTCTACTTTAGAATATTTTGTGTCATACTACTTTTTTTTATTTTCCTTTCTTTCTTTTGTCAGTATTGGGGTTTGGACTCAAGCCTCATACTTGCTAGGCAGGTGCTGTACCACTTCAACCACTCCACTAGCCAGTTTTCGTATTGGGTTTGTTTTGGTTTGTTTTTCGGTGTTGGGGTTTGAATTCAGGACCTACACCTTGAGCCACTCCATCAGCCCTTTTTTGTGAAAGGGTTTTTCCAAGAAGGGTCTTGCAAACTATTGCTCTGCGCTGGCTTCAAATTGTGATCCTCCTGAGTAGGTAGGATTACAGGTGTGAGCCACTGGCACCTGACTGTGTTGGGTATTTTTGAGATCGGTTCTCTTGAACTATTTTTCCCAGCTGGCTTCTAATCGTGATCCTCTTGATCTCTGCCTCCGGAGTAACTGGATTACAGGTGTGGGCTACTGGCCTCCCGATTCTATTACTATTTGACATAAATGTAGAGCTGCTTATACTTTTATGATTTGAGGCAAATTTTTAGGAAAAATGGCTTTCTTAATACTTAGTATTATTTGCATAAAAGGTTCCGATTCCAAGATTTGCTGTTGGCATTGTAATAGGAAGAAATGGAGAGATGATCAAAAAAATACAAAATGATGCTGGTGTTCGGATTCAGTTTAAACCAGGTGAGCATATGTATTTAATCTTCTAAATATTGTTAGCAATTAGTTTTGACATTCACACATTTAATACTCAGTCAAATCTATTTGTTTGTTTTGAAGATGATGGAACAACACCTGATAGGATAGCACAAATAACAGGACCTCCAGACCGATGTCAGCATGCTGCAGAAATTATTACAGACCTTCTTCGAAGTGTTCAGGTTTGATAGAAGTCAACACTTCCTTTTTTTGTTGTTTGTTTTTTCATTGGTATTTTTCATCAAATCAGAGTCTGCTTGATAAGGTTTTGCTAATGGTAGAAAGCTTACATTGCTATTAGGTAGACATCTTGGAGCATGAAGATTTGCTGCATAAGTGCTCTATTATGTTTGCTCCAGTATTAAATAAAATGGCAGTTAATACTGGTATTTTTATCAAGTAATTTTTGAAGTAAAAAAAAAAGCTTCTGGCTCAGGAATGTGAGAATTGGGAAAAAGAAGAGTTTCTTTTTTTGGTGATAGCAGAGATCCAACCCAGAGCCTTAGGCACGCTAGGCAAACACCCAACCACTGACCTACATCCCAGCCCCCTAAGAAGAGTTTTATTACTTTGCTGGCTTTATTTCTTGTCTTTTCCCTCTTTAGGCTGGTAATCCTGGTGGACCTGGACCTGGTGGCCGAGGAAGAGGTAGAGGTCAAGGCAACTGGAACATGGGGCCACCTGGTGGACTACAGGAATTCAATTTCATTGTGCCAACTGGGAAAACTGGATTAATAATAGGAAAAGGCAATGTATTTTAAATTTTTAATGTTTAACACATTATCTGTTTTGTTTTTTTTTTCTGGGCACTTTGTTGCTGTTATAAACAACTAAAACATACGGAATATATTAGTATTTAAAAAAAAAAGCAACATCCTATAATAAAATGTATTAGATCATTTCTGCCTTTGGACACCATTCATACATAAAATATGAAATGACACCTTGCAAAATCCTCAAATAGGGCTGGCAGGCATTTGTCTGAACATGGGAGGAGAAATCCCTTCCCCAGAACCACAGAGACTAAATATGGGGCCAAAATGTAAAAAGAGCAGATAATGCATTCTCCTCAAACTTTGGGGAAAGCATTCTCCTTTCATTTTCCTCTCTTAGAGGGAAAAAAACCTCCATATGGAAAAGAGCTGAGTATTTCTGTTAGAACCTTCCCTCTTATAAAACCCCAGCTAATACCATTATATTTTTTTTCACTAAAATGTAAATATCAGGGAACAGAACTGCTCTGTCAACATATCAGTGTTTATATTTTTTTAAAACTCTTAAATTCAGAGTTTGGAAGAAAAACCTATTTCACATGGGGTGATGGAATGAAAATAGTGAAAGGCAAACTTCAAAGTGAAAATCTTAAGGCCTAAATATTGAACTTATTAAACTTTTTCGCTGCAGTTAAAGGGAATTTAGGGACAACTTAAATGGTTTCCTTAAATAGTACTCATGTTGGTTACATCACTCTGCTTTTATTGATGTAAACATAAAGTCAGCTAAGGATTATGGCAATACTTCCATAACATTAGTGGGTTTAAAGTGCTATCTGAAATATTAGCCCTCCTGTATCAATTATCATTCCCCACCATACCTTCCCTATTCATAGAAATTTTTCCCCAGTTCCCAAATGTTTTCTCAGGCTCAGATACACCAATCACATCAAACAGGTTCTACTCTAAAATTCCTTAGGATCTGAGTCTTAAACTTTAGGTAATTAATGGAGAAAGTATTTGTTATGGCATCATTCTTTATAATTCTGTAATGAAAGATAACTGCTCTGGAACCAAAGTTGTCTTAAGAAGTGGGAATCCTTCTGATCTAGTATGAAGATGCCATAGATTTCCTCTACAATTAAGAGAAAACAATTCTTACTAAAAATCCTCCTGCATCTCCATCTACACTTGTCAGCAGCTCTCAAATTGGTAATTAATAACACAGATGGCCTTAAGTGTAGAAAAATCAAGGAGTTCATGTTCTGTATTCCCCTCTACATGCAACTGCCATGGACCAAAAGTTAGCTGTTGACCAAAAAAAACCATTAAAATATAAGTGTTCTTTCAAAAAAGAAACTTTTTGTCTGTGGTACTGGGGGAGTTTTAGCTCAGGGCCTCATGCTTGTTAGGCTGGTGCTCTATCATTTGAGCCATGTTCCCAGCTCAGTTTAAGAAAATTTCCCCTGTAAAAATGGCTTGGGTATTTTTGCTTGTTACTCATTTTGCTTTCTGAAAACTCACATCCTTTAAAGATTTTGTATGCTTAAAAATATGTTTTTTACATTGCTTATAAAAGCAGTTTATTCCAGCCAAATATTTTCATAAGTTATCCATATTAAGGTGTGTATAAGTTTCAGTAAACTTTAATGTATTTTAAGAGAAGCATGAGATGTTTCATGTAGCTTGATTAAATTACATTTTCATGTGGCTTGAGAATTCTAATAGATAATGAGGATGCTTGCCAAAACTTACTTTAACAGCTCATTTAATTGTGACCATTTTCTTTTAAATAGTACCTCTCTCATTCTTTGAACTTTTAGAGAAATTGCTGTCTTTTTGATTGTAGGAGGTGAAACCATAAAAAGCATAAGCCAGCAGTCTGGTGCAAGAATAGAACTTCAGAGAAATCCTCCACCTAATGCAGATCCTAATATGAAGTTATTTACAATCCGTGGCACTCCACAGCAAATAGACTATGCTCGGCAACTCATAGAAGAAAAGATTGGTGTGAGTATGCTTTAAGTTTCTAGTTTATAACATAGTCCTTGTTACATAAATAAGGCATTAATTCAGATACACCGTAAGAAAATGTGGTTTGGGATTTTTTTTGGCCGAAGTTTTTGGGTTTTTTTTTTTTTTCCAGTTCTGGGATTTGAACTCAGGGCCTCACACTTGCAAGGCTCTATACCACTTGAGCCACTCCACCAGCCTGTTTTTGTGTTGGGTATTTTCAAGCTAGGATCTTACAAACTATTTTCCTGGGCCGACTTTGAAGTTCAGTCCCCTTGATCTCTGCCTCCTGAGTAGCTAGGAGTACAGGCATGAGCCACCAGCATCCAGGAGAAATTGTATAATTTCTATTCTAAAATTACAAGTTTTGTGATACAACATATAACATAGAGAAGATGTCTAGCAGTAAAAGTGATCTGATTAAATACAAAGTTACAGGTGTTCAGAACAACTTTACATTTGGGTGTGCATAGTTAATGAAATGGTAGCCTTGTCTACAGACTCACTAGGGTTGGTATAGAGTTATGGAACATAGTTGCAGGAGTTAGAGGAATTCTGTATTCCTATCATTGATGAGTCAAGAAAGAGGAATCAGGTGTATCTCCCACTCTACAGTAAGTAGCATCATAAATTCTGACTTTTAGATGGCTCACAATCAACCTGGGTGTTTGACATTACAGATGATTTTGATATTCCCTACCCCTGTGTACTACATATACAAGTAGTCCTGATTCAGAACATCTAGAGTAGGGTCTGCATCTGTTTGTTTCACAAAATCAATTTTGGAAAGTTTTCTGTTAGTAGGACAACAACAACAAAAAAAAGTATAAAGAGCCTTGATCATGGTGGTTTTGTTTTTGTGATGTGAACAAGTGTAATTGTTTTTTAAAATGAAGAAAGTGTGGACTCAGTAATGGCAGGGTTTGATGTCAAAGCTGAAAAATAAAGAGCACATTTTAGTTATTTTATTTATCCTAGTAGGTGTAGAGCAGAGTTTCTGTTGGATTCATGGAAAACAAGGAAAGTTTTAGAAAACAGTTTGATGTAGTGCTTAAGAGCATGGAGTGTTTATTCTGATTTAAACACTACATAATGTATACATGAGTAATGTATACATAATAAGGCATATGATATGGTACCCCGTTAATGTGTACAATTTTTATGTTTTTAATGTGTGTGGGTGAACAATTTTTTTTAAAAACAATGGTACTGGTCACAGTAGTTCAATCCTGTAATCTCAACTACTGAGGAAGTAGAGAGGAGGGGAGCAAACACAGGTTTGAGGCCGGATCTGGGCAAATGAGAGATTCTTTCTAAAAACTAAAGCAAAAGCGAGCTGCGGATATGGCTCAAGTGGTAGAGTGCCTGCCTAGCAAGTGTGAGGCCTGAGTTCAAACCCCAGTACCACCAAAACCAACCAACCAAACAAACAAAAGAAATACGCAAGAAGTATAGGCTATAGTATCAGGGATCCTATGTGGCATTTGTTGCCCGTGTGACCTTGAAGAAGTTACTTATTGTCTTCTGTGCCTCAGTTTCTTGTAAAATTAAGATAACAGGTTCTACTTAAGAGAACTAATTATAAAGATTGAGTATGTTTACATTTGTTTAAGAGTGTCTGACACATGGCCCTAGAAGGTACTTTTACTTCATTGTGCTTTCTGGCTTTTTTTTGTTTGAAAAAAAAAATGATTATGGATATTGAAAGTGAGGGATGGTAGCAATTGGAGCTTTGAAGACATAGGTTAGTGAAAGGAACTTAAAAGATCATGAAGCTTAGGTAGCTAGCCTCCCTGTTTCCTAGTGAGAAAGTTGACAAACACAGTTTAAACATTTTTGCCAAAATATCATAAGTTAGTATTAAATATGCAATGAAGGAGTGTTTTAGGACAGTTAAATCTGATTGGAGATGTTAGTTGGCATATCAGAAGAAATGTGTTGAACATAATTGTGTCATGATTAAAATACAGAATATACTGGTTTGTTGTATCAATTGTAAAAGGGATTTTCGTGTATTTAGAAAGGTATGATAGATGAAAAGGAACAGTAAATCGTTCATCTAAGTGGGGTTCTGGTGACACAAACAGAAAAGTTGTAAAGCAGTCTTATTTTGAGAGCAAATTAGGTGTTACAGTACGGATAAAATGTTTCACAGACAATTCACAATGTAGAAACTATAAACGTTTTGAGAAATACAGTGTTTAGGTGATTGTCAGACATTAGGAGAGTTGAGACAGAGTAGATGCAGAGAGAAGACCTAGAAGTAAAGGACCTCATATCTGATGAACTTCCATTATGCTAAAGGAATACTAGACACAAGAACTATAAAAAGGGAGAAAAACAGCCTGAAAGGAATAGAGAAGAAGCTAAAGGAAACATACTAATTTTTGCATTCAGTTGTGAATGCTATCAATTTTGAGTTTTACACGTCTCAGTATGACAGGTTTTAAAATAGTTTTTTGCAACATAAATAAGGAAAGTTTGCCACAACTGTAAGAGAATAAAAATGGAAGGTGGTCAGTCTTTGAGTTGCTTAACCATCACCCTTCTTTTATCCTGATTTTTAATTTTGTATGTGTGTCTTGGTGTTTTGCAGGGCCCAGTAAATCCTTTAGGGCCACCTGTACCCCATGGGCCCCATGGTGTCCCAGGCCCCCATGGGCCTCCAGGGCCTCCAGGGCCTGGAACTCCAATGGGACCATACAATCCTGCACCTTATAATCCAGGACCACCTGGCCCAGCCCCTCAGTAAGTACTGGATTGCAATTTAGGCTTTTTCCTTAAAAATCCTAGCTTTTGGTAGATGATATTTTATCTACTGATTTTCTTTTCAGTGGTCCTCCTGCCCCATATGCTCCCCAGGGGTGGGGAAATGCATATCCACATTGGCAGCAACAGGCTCCTCCTGATCCAGGTAAAAGATACTTATCATTAGTGTGCTCGCCATGTTGTTTGAGTATCATCTATTGTTGACTCTACATTTGTACATACTGTTTTCACTCTTATAATTCAGCAGAGTGTTAGACACTGCTTCTACCATTGTGTATAAGACTGTCGTCTGTTTTATGAAACTCTTTTCTTGCTTTCTCTAATTCTAAATTGATACAGCAGAGTGCACAGAGCCAACAGCTATAGGAAGATGTACAGTGTCTTAGGTGTCAGATACAATTCTCTCATGTAGTGAGAGAATTTCATGGATTTCATCCATGAAAGAATGTTGCACGTTTATAAAATTTTGTGTTTGACAGTATTAAATACTTGGCAACACTAAACTCCCAAAATCTCAAATAAGATCTGAACTGTCTGTTCTAGTACTCCAGGTAATTATTATTAAGAATCAGATCCATATTTAATAACTTCATACTGGAGCTCTGAAATAAATTTTAAATACTTTCTGTTCAAACCTAGTTTTTATGTATTCTATTCTGTTCTCGCATCTTCCCATACTCTATAGTTTTTATTTCATCTTGGTCACAGGCCTTCTTTGAAACCAGTTAAAGTGATTCTTTTTTTCACCTGCTACCTGTCTTTTAGGACTCACTGGAGTAGTCTCAAAGAAGATAATAATGAATTATGGTTTACTTTCTATACATAGCACATTAATTTTGGGAAAAAAACACAATAACTGATTTAAATGAAATTGATTTTGGTTGATCATTTTGGTATTCAGATGTGGCCCTGTAATATAAAATACTTTTATATTTCCTTGGAACTTTGCTCTGTGAAAGCTTCTGACATAACAGTCACCAAATGACCACAGCTTCAAAGGACCACAACTTCAGAGTTGTGCTAGTATGTGGCTATGCAAAGATGAATTTATGTCCCATAGAAGAAGTATGCATTCATTTTAAATAATACTGTAATAGAAGAGCTAATAAAGTACAGAAGTACCAAATATAATTTGCCCTATAACAATGTTAAAAGTCTTACCTTTTTACAATGTAAAGTCTTCTCTAAAATGTAAGTTCGTTGTAATGTCATGATTAAGCAAAGGAATGAGAGTCCTTGAGCTTGGACCAGCTCAAGTTTACTAGTCTCTGGATCTGGTGTTGCTTGTATTGTGTAACATTTTATTGTTGGTGGTGCACACCTACAATCCCAACCCGTAGGAGGCTGAGGAAGGAGGATTTTGGTTCCAAGTCAGCCTGGTCTCCATAGGGAGAGTTCCAGGCTAGCCTGGGCCACATAGCAAGAGTCTTTCTCAAAAAAAAAAAAAAAAAAATCTGTACAGATTTAAATGGTGGTCAAGAATTTAACTTCAGAATGAAATTGATCTAAATCAGTCCTAGTGCTATAATGGAGTAGTTGGTATGTCAAGGAAGTATTTGAATCCCTGTAGCCCTGTTTTCTTACCTAAAAAATGATAAGTAAACGAATTGATGCTGTGTTGAATAAACATTTAGTAAGTTCTCAGTACATACTAATTATTATATACTTTTGTGGTTTACAAGTGAAGGAGTGTAAGTATTGCTTCCTAATATTTGTTCTATCTGCCGGGCATGGTGGCGCACATCTATCTGTAGTCCCAGCTACTCAGGAGGCTGAAGCAGGAGGATCATTTGTGCCTAGAAGTTTGAGACCAGCCTGGGCAACAGAGTGAGACCCCATCTTAAAAAAAAAAAAAAATGCTATTTTCATTTCTTTATTCAGACATTGTGTTGAGTGAAATATATTAAAATATGTAGATAATCATACTGTTGGCATAGAAATATCTGATGTAGAAATGCAGTGCATTGAGCAGTTGAGAAGGAGTTGGAAAGCAACCTCTTAAATTGTGTCACCTTAAATTTTCTTTTTCTAGAGATGCTCCTTTTTTCTCAAATGTTAGTAAACTTTATTGAGCTGATGAATATTGCTACTTGTTTGGAATGAAGGCTTCCTAAATCACATTACATATACACTCTGGCTAAGGAAATTACATTCTTTTTTTGGAGATGCAGACAAGTAAACATAACCTGTAGTACTATGTAACATTACTAGTTTATAATAATGGACAGAATATGGGAGCTTCTGTTTTCTCACTGAGAGGTCTTGACTGTAAACATATTGGTAGGTTTATGAGGAGTTAATGAAGATGAGCCAAGTCCAGAGGAAGCTGAACGTGATCAAAGGCCCATACATGAGCATGGTGACTTGAAAAGTACAGCAACTTGTTGCATGTAGAGCCTCAGTATTGAAGAGATATCAACAAAAGGGAGAGATGAGGCTGTAATGGGAAAGATAAGCTAAAGGATCCAGATTGGTAGAGATATTGAATGATATGCTGAACTGAAAAGCTTTCACTAGCTTAAAGATTTTAGAAAATAAATTTCAACTAGGATGGTAGCATCAAGTTTATAAACTGTATGAAATAGAATAAAATGTGGCTAAAAGATTTTGTATCTCTTCATGGAACATAACTCAGGAAAAAGTTTATTTTAAAATAGTTTCTTTCTTATAGAAAGCCTCTGGGAACCTTTTATTTAGCCACCTGATACATAGAACTGTTGTGCTTGAGGCTAAACTGATTTAGGAAAAACAAGGGCACAGACTGGTTTGAGAAGTATTGGATTTGAAGCCCAAAGATCTGTTCGTACTCCAGTTGTCACTAGATTTTGTAATCTAGAAATTATTTAATCCACAAGTCTCAGGTTTCTGTATTGAAAACCAGTGATAATGAAAATATTAGAAAATTTAAAAGTCTCCATTTACTGTTTAATGTTGATGTATAGTTAATTTTGGGGTCGTATGTTTTGACTTTGGACACAAACCTTGAACTTGTTTTTATTAAATTCTAGCTAAAGCAGGAACAGATCCAAATTCAGCAGCTTGGGCTGCTTATTATGCTCACTATTATCAACAGCAAGCACAGCCACCACCTGCAGCTCCAGCTGGTGCACCAACTACAACCCAAACTAATGGACAAGGTAACTATGGTAATTAAAGATTTATTTTTTACTTAAAAGCCAAAACTTGTGTTTGCAGTTATCTATGAAGTACATCACTGATTCCTAAAATTTCTTTCTTTCTTCTTCATTTTTGTTGTTTGCTTCTGGGTTTGTTTTGGGGGTTTTTTGGTGTTGGGGATTGAAATCAGGACTTTGTGCATGCTGTGTTCGACAAGCACTCTTACCACTGAGCTACATACCCAGTCCTAAGATTTCTAACATTCAATTATAATGTCAGTAAGCAGATTTTCCTTTCTTAAGTAAGTCACTTTGAAATGACTTCAAACTTTTATAGAAGTTGTAAGAATAATACCAAGAATATCCAGACAGCTCAGCTATTAAGTGTTATAATTCTCCCTTTAGTCCTTATCCTGTCACATGTATATATATTCATGTCCATTATTATTAGTTCTGAAAAGAACCATTAAAAACTAAACTGTAGGCATGATGCCACATTACCCTTAAATATTCTTGTGTTCTCCAAAATTATGTAACCATCAGATTGCCCTCCAAATGAGTTAATCAACATTGATATATCATTACTGTCTCAATACACAACACTTACTTAGATACTTAGATTTCACTAATTGTTTCCCAGTATTTTCTCTCAATTCAGGATCCCACCTGGTTACATCAAGACTTCAGTCTCACCAAATTTGGGATAGTTCATCAGACTTTGTTTTGCATGTTACAAAGACTATGGATCTTTTATTAAGTGGTTATCAATCTAAGTCCCAATGACTTTTTCTTTTTTGAGAAAGGGTCTCAACTATGTTGCTCAGGCTGCTCTCAAAAGCCTGGGCTCAAGCAATCCTCCTGTTTCAACCTCCTGAGTAGCTGGGATTACAGGTGTGCCTGGCCTATTCCACCTTTTCTTATGACCATGAGGTAATGCCTACCTAGCAAGAAAAACTCAGAAATGATACTATGCTCTTCTTAGTGTGTTATATCAAGAGATACAAAATGTCTTCCCTGGAGACAGTAACCTCAGTCACTTGGTCATATTGGTGTTGGCCAGGTTTCTGTACCATGATATCACCATTTCTCTCTGAAGTAGTATTTGCTGGGGCATAATGCTGAGATGCCACTATTCTGTTTTTCATTGTCCTTAGCTCTTTTAAGCCATTACTATTAAAGGTGATAGTTTTTTTCTGTTTCTATCATTTTAAATTTGGTGGTTGGTATTTCATGTAAGGAACAGCTTTTCTTTTCATCCAGCTTAGTTCTTCATGTCAATATGGATTTCTGTTATTTGGTAGGCTTTTTTTTTTTTTTTCCCTTGTTTTGCATTTATTTAGATGCTCAATGAAACCACTCTTCTCTGCCAACCAATCTCTGTACCCCCAACATTTTGTGTCTTTGGCACTAACAGGGCTGCCGCTACCACATAGTACTTCCCTTCTAGCTCACTGCTTCATGGTAGGCCATTGCTAACTCCTTTACTCAAGAAACAGAAGGAAAGATCCACAGTTGCCTTTTAAAAGTTTACTTTTTTCTTTCTTTCTTTGTTTTTTAACAAGGAGATCAGCAGAATCCAGCTCCAGCTGGACAGGTTGATTATACAAAGGCTTGGGAAGAGTACTACAAGAAAATGGGTATGTTGTTTGTTTTCACATACATATACGTATATATGCTTTTAATTAAATGGAAGCACTTAGTAAATATACATAAGCATGTTAGAGATTTTGATAATGAAAGCATATTTATACCAAGTTATTACGTTACTTGATTTTATCCATTTATTAACTTTAATGATGCTGAGGAAAAAAATTGAATTCACTCAATTTTCAGACATACCAAGGCCATTGCAAATAATCATTAAGTTTATGGTTACATAACAACAAAATGAATTTGTCAACCACTTATTTAAAACTGGAAATTTCCTCACTGGCATTGAGTATTACTACAGTATCAAAGACAGCTAAATATATTACTAGCCAAAATGGCATTAGGTTAAATTTTAGAGCACTGACCAAAAATAGCTTGTGTATGGTATCATTATTTATGGTGCAAAATAACCAGGTAAGAAGTAACCTACCGGGACACAGTAAGTAAATTACTTAAGTGGCATTGTATATGTGGAAAAGGAGAAACATGTAGAAAAACCCTTTTCATTCAACAACTGTGGAGCATGTACTGCATCAAGCATAATGATACTGAGAATACAATTATATGGGTATAGCAGTTAAGAGCCGCCTCCCTAATGGAGGGGATGGCTAAGCAATTTGCAAATATATTACTACAAGCTGCTGTATGAAGGAAAAGAGCTGTATTTTCACTGATATTTCACTTACACAGACTAGTAAACACAACTACTAAGTGGTACAATCAGAATTTTACTTCTCTAAAGGTAATGAATCCAAAGCCTGTCTCCCATATTTATATCTTTCAGGGAACCATTTGGAACCTGGTATTGTCCTTGTTAGCAGATAGTTATTTTTCACATGTTTTTGCTCTTTTTTAAAAGTAACAAAACATTCCACAACCATTGACACAGGTGAAAACTAAACAGATAAACTACATCATTCACTGGCATAGTAGAAGGTCTGATTTTGTCGTGAGATAGTCTACATGCCACATCTTATTCCTGAGGATATTTATTATGTTTTTGTTAACTTGGCTAATCTCTGGCAGACCTAGAACAGCTAAAATTCTACAAAAAGGTTTAACCTCAAAACAGTGTAGTCTAGTTAGAGTAATTATGTAATTTATTGTCTGAACTGGGATTCTTTTGAGAATGAATAGGATACTATTAATAATCATCCTGTGGAAAAATAATAGTCAAGACTTACAGCCACCTTAACCTTATGGGAATAGCATCACCATTTTATAAAGAATTGAGCATGTTGGGGTTAAAGTACATGAGCTCCCCAACTTGTATTTTCAAAATGTGATATGCCAGATAGTTTATATTATTAGATGGGTAGAAACAAAGACTTGTTTATTTGTTTGTTTTTGGTAGTACTGGGGTTTGACTCTGGGCTTGCTAGGTAGGCGCTGTACCATTTGAGCCACACTGCCAGCTCACAAAGGCCAGTTAGCAGGTTTAGGTAATTACCGGGGAATGAGTTTGGTATATGTGCTTTTTATTGTATCCTATTAATTACTTGCAGTGTGACCATTAATAAATCTTCTGTTGAGATAGATTATATTACATATACCAGAAATGAATGGTATGATAAACTAAATTTTATTGTTAAGGGTAGACATTTTTGTCTTGCCTTGTTTTAACTTTTTATTTATTGCTATTTCCCTGCATGCTCTTCTCTTAAAATACTGTAGGCTATCTTGGATCGTTTAAGTGAAAAATGCCAAGGGAGTAACTTATTAGATAACACTATGCTTGAAGATCTGCCCTATTCAGTTGGATTTTTTTGTTGTTGTTTTTGTTTCTTGTAGTATTGCAGTGAAATGATCACTTGTTAATTTTATAAGCAAAGTGGGCTGGTTGGACAATATCCTGTCATAAATCTTAAAGGAAATGATGCTAGGTAATTTGCTCAGATGTTTAATGAAGTTCTATATAGAGGTTCTTTGTAAATAACTAGTTGTTCAACTACTCTAATTTTTTCTGTGTATTACTTGGCCTCAGATCTTTTTAGGATAACCACAAATAAAGAGACCTTAAAGCTTAAGCACTATTAATAGTATTAAAGCTGTCTTCAAGCATCTTAAAGGGAAGGGGAGAAAAGGATTAATAAAATTGGAAGATAAGAATTTTTATCTTCAAAAGCCACTTTTTCTTACTGACTCTTCGAGTGGTCTGGCTAGGATGCCCAGGACTCCACATTTTCTGATTCCTTGAGTGTCATTTCTCATAGTAACCCTGCCTCCTCAAGTACCAAAGAAGGCAGGTTGTCACAAATTTTGAACCCTGGCTTCAGCTTTTCCTACTAAGTACAGAAAATTCCTAAGATAATATTAAGAAAACTCAGAAATTCTGAAAAGTTTGACTTAAGGTTTTTGTAACGTTAAGTGCTGGTTGGTATAGTGGATTCTGAACCTTTGGCATCTGGTACCTTAAGCTTGAAGGGAGAGAGAATAAGTAGTTGTGGAAAAATGCAGGTGTATGCAGAGATAATTGTGTATGATAATTTATTCAAGCAAGGATGTCTCAGACAATGTCATGCGTGAATCCCAAGGCAAGTGTTTCATCTTTTGGATGAAATTAAAGTAAAGCTTTATGTTAATAAGTTATATATAGGGTTGGTGGAGTGGCTGAAGCGATATGAACACCTGCCTAGCAAAAGTGTAAAACCCCTGAGTTCAAACCCAGTGCGGCCAAAAAAAAACCATGTAAATACTAGGTAATGTTTTATTAAGGTGTAGAAAAAATTCTGCCTTCAAAATAGTAAAGAGTAGTAAGTGGCACAAGATAGGGAAGTACATGCATTAAAGGGACAGGGAACTGAAGCAGAGGTCCAAGGCCTAAGTAGATTAAATAGGAAGAGTTCTTTCTCTACTTCACCTGGGAAGAATGAATGACATTGGACATTAAATTGGAGAGGTGAAATGAGTTTTTCTTAGACATATTTTAAGGATTGGAATATCAAATGTTGACAGCTTATTTACCAACTGTTTATTATTATGAGTCTACCATGTTTACTTTTAGCTTTCTACTAGGATATTTGAGTTTGGGGGGTTTATGTTTTTCTTGGGGAGCTTTTGAATCTGATGGGTTCTGCACATGTTCTCCTGCTTCTACCATCTTATATTGTGATTTTCCTCTGAAATGAATGTATCTTATAAGGTTTAGCTCCTTTAATAAGCCTGAAGTGGAATTATTCTCTAACCATTTTGGTTTCAGGTATGCAGTTTGTTTTATTGCTCTTGCTACATAGGTATTTAGCATATTCTAACTATTGAAACTTGTTTCAGGTCTGCTTGAATTATGTCTATTTATAAGATCAAAATGTTAAACACACTGTTTGAGAAGAGTTATTTATGGAAGAAAAACAGAATTTTTTTGTAGTATATGAATACTTAGTGCTTTTCCCAAAACTTTATTTTTTTCTTTTAATTTTAAAAGTTAAGAGTCCTTTTTTTTTTTTTTTGGTAGTGCTGGGGCTCAAACTCAGGGCCTACAGCTTGAGCCATTCCACCTGCCCTTTTTTTGTATGTGTATGATAGTTTTTTTTAGGCTATAATCAGTTCTACTTTCTGAAACTATAGCTACTTTGTTGGTAAGGTCCAACAAACAAAAATAGCTTCCTGTATGTCTGCAATATTTTTTGTCTATCATGTCATAGAGCTTACTGCTTAGGCAAAGGAACAGAATAGGAAAGCACATACTCTGTCTTCTCACTTGTATTTTGAAAAAATTTATGCCTTCAAAAACTTAGAAAAATAGGACTGGTGGAGTGGCTCAAGTGGTAAAGTGCCTGCCTAGCAAGCTTGAGGCCCTGGGTTCAAACTCCAGTACCACCACCAAACAAAAAAAAAAAAACTTAGAAAAACAGGATAGCAAACACCCAGCTTTACCATTTTTTAAAAAATTGTCCATATGTGTCTTACGTGTCTGTTTTAAAAGTCTCTGTCAGGAAAATGTCTTTTGTAATTGTGGTGTTTTTTGTTTTAACTTGAGCCCATTTAGTGTTCATTTGGTTATTGTATCTCTTTAATCTCATTCAGAAAAGTCACCTTTCCTAGAAAAAGAACTGCTCATGAAAGCTGACTTTTGTTTCATTTATGTTGTTCTTTTATGTCATTTGCCAGATTATTTTAAGGAAAATTGTGTTCTGATATGAACACATTAAGTCCTTCTGTATCATGGCTTTGGGAGGGCCAGTAATGAGAAGTAGACAATACAGTATTTGCTTCATTGTGTACAGTACTTCATCCGTGAAGTATTTGCTTCATTTAACCTTTGTTAAATATATGGATGCAGACGACTTGATGAAGATCTTTTTTTTTTTTTTTTTTGGTTTAAAGTAGTATTTTTTGTTTTTTGGTTTTTTTGAAAATGTACAAAATCCTACTGATATAGGAGAACCTCACACTTAATAGGCAGGCACTTGTACCACTTGAGCCACTCCAGCAACCCCTTTTTTGTGATGGATTTTTTAGAAATAGGGTCTTCTGAACTGTTTGCCAGGGGCTGGCTTAGAACTGCAATTCTCCTGATCTCTGCTTCCTGAGTAGCTAGGATGGCAGGCATCCAGCTGTATCATGACCTTCAAATAGTTCCTGTTTCATTTCTTTTTCGTGTATGTAACTATGTTCCTTTGCAGTTCTCTATTGAGGATTGGAGTTTAAGAACAATAGTAAAACATCAATCCAAGTGGACATGGGTTTCCTCTTTTTCATACTGTCTTTTCACTGGCACTGCTGTGAAAGCAGTTTGAAAGTCATTTAGAACGGTGATATTTTATTAACTCTGCAATTGATTCAAGCATTATGTCTGAATCTACACCTTTGCTTAAAACTATGGGTTTTGGCAAAGTTTTTTATTAATGATGCTATAGAACTAAAATTTATTATTAACATAATACAGAAAGAGCTCTTCCCTATCCCACAACCTCTCCCTACTTTCTAATTGCAGAGTTGTTGTCTAACACTAATGAGTATCTAAGATGAACAGAAACACCAAGTGTAGTGTGCAGATCTGTAATCCCAGCACTCTAGAGGCACGGGCAGGAAGATTGTGAGTTCAAGGCCAGCCTGGTCTACTCATAAACAAGACCCTGTATTTTAACAAAAAGAAAGAACAAGATGACCCTCTTTGCTTGTCGGTTATAACCTGTACTTACAGTGAATATAATTTTGTATTAAAATTTAGGGGGTTTTTTTTAGGTCAACAAGGGCAGACACAAGATTATTCAAAGGCTTGGGAGGAATATTACAAGAAGCAAGGTATTGTTTTTACTAAAATGAGATTCTTTTGGACTTCTAATTGTGGTTATAGCAACAAAGTTCTTCTGTTTTCCCAAAGGTCAAGCAGTTCCTGCTCCTACTGGGGCCCCACCAGGTGGTCAGCCAGATTACAGTGCAGCCTGGGCTGAGTACTATAGACAACAAGCAGCCTATTATGCCCAGACAAGTCCCCAGGGAATGCCACAGCATCCTCCAGCACCTCAGGTATAATAAATTTGCTAATTTGATGATTTTCATTTCAGTCATGTTTTCTGCATGTTTTTTGTTTGTGTGTTTGGGAATATGTTTACCTTTTTAGTTGTTATCTGGCAAAGTATAACTAAATGAACTAATGTGATGTGTTTGGGTTTTGGGTTTTTGTTTTTTGTTTTTTGTTTGTTTTTGTTTTTAAATAATGCTTTCTGGCATCTGAGTGCTGAATATTTCTGCAATGCTTTTGATTTTAAAAATAAATTTTCTTCCCCCCAGGGATTTGCAAATCATGCAAGAAGCCACCACCATTTATATTAACCAGTTTTTCTTTCTTTAAAGGATTCACTCCTGAATTAACTCCATTTAAAGGATTTTCTTTAACTTTTTGTGTATTTCTTATGTATCTCTTCTGCACAGGGCCAATAATAAGAAGTGGACAATACAGTATTTGCTTCATTGTGTGGGGGAAAAAAACCTTTGTTAAATATATGGATGCAGACGACTTGATGAAGATCTTAATTTTGTTTTTGGTTTAAAGTAGTGGTTTTTTTTTTTTGTTTTTCTTTTTGTTTTTTTTTTTGTTTTGAAAATGTACAAAATAATCTATCACTACTGATAGGAGGTTAATATTTCTGTGTAGAAATGAAAATTGGTTTGTTTTTAGTATTTAGTGTAGATGTACACATTCCAGCAAATGTATTTGCAACTATTATGTGGTCAATGCTTTGTGATATAAATGTACTTTTTCAATGTATACTTTCACTTTTAAAATGCCTGTTTTGTGCTTTACAATAAATGATATGAAACCTCCTGTGTCGGTAAGTTGGATATGTGGGTAAAGGATTCATAATTTCATAGCAATGGTAAATTAAGATACATATACACAAATATGTAAGCTTTCCACATGGATTACTGAGTCTTTAAACACTGGCATGTTTTTTCCCCCCTTGCAGAATAGTGATAGATTGGAGGATCTTTTCCATTTATATTTGCCTATTTCAGCACAAGTAATCCTGATATCTTCATTTTTTTTCTTCTGTTTGATTAAAAACTGCATGTGTGTACAATGATCTTTTAGTGTACTTCCATTGCATTAACAGTGAAATTTCCTTTTATACATGACCACTGTTTCAGACCTGTACTGCTGCTATAACAGTTAACCTTTCTGTTCTTAATTTGATAATTACTTGATTTCCAAGACTGTTTCAGCATAACTAATTTTAAACAGTTTTCAGATAGCAAATTCGAGTAGTCTAATAAGAACAGCTTTTTCCATGTAAAGCATCTCTTTTAATGTATATAATAGTGTGTTTCTCTCTAAATTTAGGGTAGAAAAGTTGAATAGTATGCAAAAAGTATAGCTACACTGCATCTGCCATTGAAACATTTGGGTATGGAAACGTTCAAGTTTTTTTTCTTTTTTCTTTTTTTTCTTTTTTTCTCTTTTTGCAGTATAGATAAGCTTTGTTTTGTAAATGCACAAGTCCAGTCATTTAATCAAATTAATTTTTTGTGTCCTTGAAGTCATATTATTACTCTTTAACACTCATGCTGAAGTTCTGATATTTTGTTGAAATCCATTGTTTTACTCTTTGCATATTTGTTGGCTCTTTGCAAGTTAATATATTAGACTACATGCAAATACAGTCTGTCTTGCCATTGTCTGTTGAAGTGCAGGTTTGATCCAGCCAGTATAGAACTAGCTCTGTAGGGGTGAGGAGGACTGTGCTGTGTATCATCCTTGATTGTGTTCCTTCAAGGAGCATTGCACTGTAAGTACATCAGAATGACAAATTGATGAACTGCAACAGTATCTTTTTGTCAATGTTCCACATAATGCCAATGCCATATTTTGTGTGAATATTATGTTGGAATACAGTGCTGATATCTTGGAAAACCATAACTGCTTCTTAACATAGAATAATACATAGTTCTGTATTTTTTTTTTAAGTGAGCTTAATGGGTAAGTATTTTTGATATGCTTTAGCTATAGCTAAAGAAAACTGATCATTAACAAAGTTGAATAGTATTACTCACTGGTGCTCCTAAATATTCTTTTTCAGTGTAAAATATGCATAACAATATGAAAAATTTGAAATGTTATTAGACAGTGGTTTTCAGTTTGCAAATAATATGCACTTTTAACACCATTTCATGAATATATTAGTTCTGTCATTGGTGGGAGCGCCATTTGCTTTGAATGTGCTTTAAAGAGGAAGATGTTCAGGGACATAAGTGTTGAGATTAGATGCAGGGTAGAAAACAGCAGTGCAGTTTATTGTAGAAGGTATGAAATGCTTCTGATTGCTCATGTAACCTAGAATGACCTCCCTTATCCTTGCTTAGATCTGGGTATGTAGTTCTACTTGAAGTTTAATAGTTAAGGAGTTAGTTATCTGTTATCTTTAAGAGAAGGATATTGACATGAACAATTTCAGTATTTTGCATGATACTGTTATAGATGACATTTTAGGAAAGTGGTGCATTTATTAAACTGAAGAAATAATTCAGTTGGATTCAGTATCATAACTCACAAGTTGGAGGCTGTTGATTTTGATTCATTTAAGGTTTAAAATCTTTATTAATTGCAAACAGTGCAATTATTTATACTTCACAGTGCCTTCCCAGACCTTCCACCTTAGGTTCTGCTGCAAAAAGCAACAGGTAAGCACAACCTAAGGACATATATAAATAAATATTTCAGTACATTAATGTTGTCCCTGTGAGGTTTTTGTGGTTGTGTACTCAAAAGCAATCTGCTACTGCTTCCCCAAAATGTATTTTGTTATTTATGCTACCATTTTCGTGGAAAGTCTTAAGTTGTTCAAGCAACTGTTTACATTTCTAGGTAATGGGGGTATTTTTTATTTTAATTTTTTTTATTAAAACAAAATGAGTAGATTGCTGCTATAACTGAACAACATCCGAATCTTTTTGTATTTTTCCCAAGATATAGAAGTGTTACAGTTAAGAAGGGACAGTTACATAGTTTTCAAGATTTAGGAAATCATTTGGTCAGAAACTTCAACAGCCTTCACAGTCTGTTTATATGTTGGATAGGACATTTTCTTTGCCCTCCAAACCTATGGTTTCTTTTCTTTCTTTCCTCTCCTCTTTCCCTCCCCTGAAATATAGTAATTCAGTAAGAATTCAGTTTTATTTTGATTTCTTTTCTTAGACAATTCTATTTTCATAACATCTATGCTGAAAAGGAAAAATAAATACTGGCAGTATGTTTTGATAAGCATGTGTATCAGTGAAATGTTAACTGTATAGCAAATAACCTTTCATTATCTGTATAGCAAACAATATTTTTCTGACTTAAGCTATTTTAGTAACTGACGCTGCATTTATTTTATTTTATGCCAGTTTTAAAATGTTTGTGTGTTCTTATAGATGATTTTAACTGGTACATACTTTGAGTTAAGATGAATGTATTAAAGCAGCATCATTATCAGTTTTGTTTATTCAGTTTCTAAAATGTGCTGATCCTTTTAAAACTCCTGCTTATCTCTACAACAAAGAAAAATATTCAAAAATACTGCCTTCATTTTCACACACAGTGCTGAAGATGCTGCAAGCACCAAATCATAGCCCATAAAATCAGGTCCTGAGATAGTTACCCATAAAGAGGAATCCTTTGAGTGTATGCCATTGGTGAGCCGATGAGCATGGACCATAGAAGGGCTCAATGTAGAAGGTAAAATTGGCAAATCATAATTGAGAAGTATGAAATGTGTTCCCATACATGATATGGTATAGGGTTAATGTACCTGCTTTTGATCACTTTTCATTTTAAAGTGCTGTTCACTTGTTCTTAAATTGTTCCATGAACTGTTAAATTTCTTCTTAAGTTATAATTACTGCACCACATTTGTGTGTTAATGTGTGTTTTGATAGCTAGGTATATTGAAATTGGTAATATAAAGGAGCGAGTCAAGTTTTAGAAAATATAAACAAATGCTAATAGGTATTGGGGCATTGTTTTTATCTCATGAGAATTTTTTAATTCATTACCATTAGCCTTCACTGATACTATGAGCATTTTTTTTTAAATGGCGCTAATTTTAGCCTTGAAGTAATGCAAAGCAGAAAAGGTGAGCTGGTTGATTTTAATACAGTAGATGTTAGGAGTGGTAGAAAAATGTTTAGTTCACATTGAAATTGAACTTATGTATCACTTAAGCAAAAATTCAGTGTTTTTTCTTAAGACATCTTAGTGTGGTGATACTTAGAATTCTATGGTTTGATGTTTCAGAACTAAGTATAGTTTTTTTAGTTAATGAAAATGGTTTTAATACTAAAACTAGTGACTTAGTAGTGGTTGTTTATTAACATTGTAAACTATATTCTTAAACATCTTAGTAGATAGATTTGGGTAGTGGGAACAGAGTACCTTCAGAAGGAAGTAGGTATATATTAAAAGTGATAACATTTCATTTGTTTGAATACTTTACTAGCAGAATCAGTTCTACCTAAAACTTATCTGTTGTGTAGAATAATGATGTAGAGTTTACTAATCAATGAGGATGTCTTATTTTTGTTTTCTGCAAATTCTGCCTCACTTATAAATGCATTTCAGTAATACCTAAAGATAATTTTGACTCTGAAAATAACTTTTGTTTAATCATTCACTTGATTTTTCTTACCACAATATAAACTTTTGAGGGATTTTTTTTTTTATTGGTGTTTTAAAGAAGCAAATAAATCCCAGGGTTTTATTTTCTTCAGTAATACCCCTAAAGAAACTCTTAAATGTATTTGCGAATATATATATATATTTTTTCTTATGCATGCTCGATGCATTTTCGTCCTGAGAAAAAGTGTTCTCTACAGAAACTACCCGTGTGTAAAAAGAAGAATGGCTTAAAATGGCTACTGTGATGGGAACAGTGTCTTAGGGAGATGCAGCTTGGACTTGAGGTAAATTGAATACTTTACAAACTGTGGTTTAGAGTTTGCTTAATGATGTTATTTGTAAAAGAGCACGATTGCTGTAATTTTGTATTTGTTATGGTCTCCTTAATAAACAATAAATGTACAATGATGAATATTACAAGGGAGTGCTGTTGTGTCTTTTATACATATAAACAAAAATTTCTACTTTATACTTGACTCATTAAAGGTTTACTGTAAGTAGATATTGATTTTTTTTGTTAATGTAATATAAAAGGGTTAATCATCTGATTGCACAAGTTTTAAAATAAAGAAACCTTTTTCTTTAATGCACGAGTAACTTTATTATGGGTTTACATTGTAAAATAAAATCATCTTCCAGAAAATCTTACAAAACTTGGTAATAGAACATGATTGCTAATTATTTACAAACCTACTTAAAGACTGCAGTTTTAAGTTGAAGGCTGTGCTACTTTTCCCTAAATCTAATCCTTTTAGATCATGAAACTTTCAATTATGTTGAAAATGTTTTCTCCTGCATGAACTATTAATACAAAGTTTTCTCAAAATATAATCTGTTCAGGCAGGATCACAACATAAATTTGCCTTATAAGTTGAATATACATTATACATACACACTTTTAAAAATACACTCAGCACTGTATAGGCAGTGATTTCTATGAGATTTTGTTTGACAATTGCTTCTTAAAAGCCCCACTTTGATTTTTTTTTCTCTGTGCTCCTCCTCTTCCATGAAAAGAATGACTCCTCCCCCTCGTATCTGCTTCAGAATTCTGTAGTACAGCGCTTTAAAAAGTCCTCAAATTGACAGGTTCCAAATTGTCTCAGCTCTTTAAGAATGATTTTAGAAGTAAAAGCTCATAAGTCACATTGCTCATGCAAAATAATGTACACCTTTTTCAAAATTTCTGTAAGCTTAAAGGAAATAACACCTGTGTTTTAGATCGAGAAAGAATAAATTTCCCAGCTCCATTATTGACAGCTACTGCATACCATGATGATAAATGTGAAGCTCATTTGAAGCTCATTTGGAAAAGAAGAAATTCTTTAGCTGAGTTTGTGTTTTGAAGACTATAAAAGAAATTAAGAAGTCAACATAGTGGGCACTTCTGGTCTCCTTTTTTGGCCCCGCCACATAAAAGATGGATGTAGTAAGAAAGTTGGAGAGAGTGTTCCAAGGGGAGAAGAGAGCCTAGTAGTCGTCAGCTAAAAAAGAGAAAAAGAAAAATGGTTTTTTTCAAGGGAAAGAAAATAGAATAAAAGATTAAAAGACTGATTAATTCTTACTTTCAATGGTAAGAATACAGGTACTAGCTGCAGAGCCTTTATTATTGACTGCTTTACACATATATTCTCCTCCATCTTCTGGGAAAGTTTCTGGTAGGTAAAGGCAGTAAGTTTCTCCTCTTTCAATATATTGATAGTCTTCTCCATCCTGCAGTATTTCTCCTTCAAACCACCATGTAATTTCTGGCCTGGGTTCTCCTGTTACCTTAACAGTAAATCTGACGGGCTCACTGTCTACAACTGATGTGTTTTTTAGAGGCCTTTTGAACCATGGAGCCCCTGATCTGGTTTGCTCTTCATCTTCAGTAGTGGAGCCATTCATGATGCTACCTTCTTCTTCTTCCTCATCTTCTCTTTTCTGTATTAAAATAAGTACATTCAGGTTGGCATAATGTCAACAGTATTTTTGTAATAGAATTTTGAAGATTAAAGAATGTGCTTACTACAAAGTACTTTATAAACCAGTTCAGTGATTTGAAAGCTATTAAAGTTATTCTTCATAAAACTGGTGCTTTAAGGGGATTCATTAGAAAGAATACGTAAACCTGATACCTTTTGTAGTGCTGCATCAATTTCTTTTTGTTCAAACTGCATCCGTAGTAATTTTTGTTCTTCGATTCTTCTTTGTTCTTCTTCTTCTCTTGCCTTAGCCATTCGTTCAAATCTAGCTTTCATATTCACTCTATGAGTAAATGGAGCCTCACTTTTTTTTGCAGGCTTTACATCAACATCTTCTTCCTTCAAGAAAAGGGTAAACAGTTGCTTTTTAAAAACCAAGAACTAAAAGTGTTAATAGTTTTGTCATTTATAGGCATATAATCATATGCTTGGTATACATATTTGTGCCATACTTCAGGCATGTAGCAGATTTTTACATCCTGTAACCCTAGGAAAGTGAGTTAACATTGTGAAGCACTTTTTTCCTAATGTTAAGATCACACGGTATCATTGTGATCACAACCTGTTTGCCCAGCCCACTTAGTACTTTTGATAGTACTGATACATCCTATAACCCTAGGAAAGTGAGTTAACATTGTGAAGCACTTTTTTCCTAATGTTAAAATCACACAGTATCATTGTGATCACAACTTATTTGCCCAGCCCACTTAGTATTTTTGATAGTACTGAGTAATAGAAAAAAGGGCAGAATACAATACTGTATATTCCAACAATTGTAAAATAGTCCCAACAATACTTTCTCCATCCTGCTACATGAGAAATGTGTTTTCTATTCATGGTTCTCCTTCACTATTAGACCTGAGTCCCAAAGAAGAGTTCCATCTAAATTATGGTTGAATGGCAGGGAAGGTATTTACAGGTAGGAAAATGAGAACTATTTAAAGAGGCAAGGTGTGAAATATGAAAACATGACTAAAGTGAAATAGATGAATCATCTGTTTATGAGTGAGAGTTGGAAGCCATGGAAATAAGGGAGTGATTTGTTTATTTTTTGGTACTTTGGTTTGAACCCAGGGCCTTGTAATTGCTAGGTGATACTGCCTGAGCCACTCCACCAGCCCAAGGGAGTGATTTAAAAGAATTAATTATCACATAGTGTGAGTGGTAAACGCCCCTGGAGAGTAGTATTGGTAGGATGGGAATTACAAAACTAATTGACTATTTCAAGGCTTTTTTTGGTCTATTTGAAATCTTAGCATTTGTTTTTCACAGTACTATAATGAAGTTGAGAAATAAGCTGTAGGTTAACTGCCTCTTAAGAAAATTCAGGGATTTTACATCAATCAGTATGAGGTTTTAGACCCATGTTTTAATGAAAGGAGCAGGAGGTAAAAGAACATTGGGGGGTTCTTTCTGGGTTTACCAGGTCTGATTTATATTTGATGTAGGAAAATCCCAGAAGATCAAGCACAACTGGAAGCTGGATGGCTAAATTCTTTTTGTGTCATTATTCAGGGGACAATAATGCCTAGCTATAATTGTTGCTTTATTAAGCATCAAGAAAATGATGTTATAATTTGTTAATATTACACTCAGAAGACAGACGAAGAAAAATAGGTGCTAAACAATAGCTTTATTACAGTTTTATGACAGGTTTTTTCCAAAATGCAAATGAAAAAAATTTGTTCACACTACTGAATTAAACTTTAAGCTAGAGGAATAGTTCAGTCAGTACAATAATTACTATCTGAATCCCATTTAATAACTTGCCTTCCACCTTTTAATATAGAAGTGTGCAAAAATTAATAGCTGTTCATTTAGCTACCTCAAACTTTCATTTAGAAAATGAGAAATTTGGGAACTAGCACAGTAGCTCACATGGTAGAGTACCTGCTACCAAGTTTGAGCCTGAGTTCAACCAGTACAACCACAAGAAAAAAATTTTTTTTTTTTTTTTTTTTTTGGGAAGTAAAAGAATTGCTCTTGAGCTAGCTAACTGGAAGTGTATCAACAGCTAGTGAAAAGCTATGTTCTGAGAAAGGAACCTACACTGTGGAGATGTGGCTCAAGTGGTTCTTAACACCTGCCTAACAAGTGTGAGGCCTTGAGTTCAAACCCCAGTGCCACCCAAAAAAAAGTGCTTTTTTAAAAAAGAACCTATTAGAACAGTCATGTTAAGTGGGATGAATGTCATTCACTAGGTTCATTAGTTATAGGGCACTGATAACCCCTAGCACAGGAATATTAAAGGCAACATAGTATTGTCTCGGGATATAATATAAGAAATGAATTTGGGATATATACCTTACTGCAGAAGCTTTAAATACAAAATAAGTGGTATAGGTTAAGTGGTACAGGAGTTGGGATAGAATTTGTTGATTTAGGGAAGTTTACATGAATAAGTTAGGCCTTGAAAGAAGTCTGGAATATAGCCAGGCACCAGTGGCTCATCTGTAATCCTTGCTACTCAGGAGGCAGAGATCAGGAGGATCCTGGTTTGAGGCCAATGTGGGCAAAAAGTGAAACCCTATCTCAAAAAAAAAAAAAACAACCCAGTACATACAGGCTGGCAGAGTGGCTCAACAGAGAGTGCCTGCCTAGCAAGTATGAAGCCTTGAGTTCAAACACCATACTGCCAAAAGTCTGTAGAATATAAACATTTTGAAGACATTGAACACTTAACATTTTCTAATAGGGGAAAGCAGAAAATCAGATTTTCAGAAGAGAGATTTTAAGGAAGAGAGTAAATGGTCTCAACTTTTTTTTTTTTGGCAGTACTAGGGTTCGAACTTAGGGCCTCACGCTTACTTAAGCAGGCGCTTTACCACCTGAACTACTCTGTCAGGCTTGTTATGTGTTGGCTATTTCCAATATAGAGTTTTGGGAGAACTGTTTTTTCCAGGCTGGCTTCGAACCATGATCCTTCTGATCTCTTCCTCCCGAGTAGCTAGGATTACAGGCGTTGAGCCACCGGCACCAGGCAGTTCTCAACTGATCTTAAGCCATCTAACCACCAAAATATTGGTGTTCTCCAGGGTTTTATCATTCATGCCCACAGGTTTTTTGTGTTTTTTTTTCACATTCTACCTCCAACTTTATAAAATTAACATACAGCTCTTGCCTCTTACCTAAGCTCAGAACCTATTTCAGACTGTCTTTACCTTATCCAAAACCATTCACCCCACCTCTGCAGACCTGATTTCTCTGTGGCATCTAGTTTCCCTGGTTATGTTGGGGTGATGTAAGGCTCCTCAGCCCCCACCTGCACAAAAGCAACCTTTCCCCCAGTTTTGTTAAGTCTGTTTTTTCTCCCTTGTCCCCCACCTTCATGCCTATCTTCCAATTCATCCATCATGATCCCAGAATTTTTTCATAAAGCAGTTTCATTTTTCTGCCCTGAAAGTTTCAGGCCAAGTGACTCAAGCCTAGCAAGTGTGAGGCCCTGAATTCAAACCCCAGTACCACACACACACAAAATTTTATTAATGTTTACTAGATCATAGTCCTTGCAAGGTTTTACAACTTTGTAACAATCTATCACCCATTATTCTGTGAGCATGGCCTTAAAGTTCTTTGAATCTGTCACTGCAGATAAGTTTTTACAACCTCGTTGCATCACATTGTCCCTTCTATCTGGAATGCCTCTCTACCTGCAACTTTTATGCAGCCTTCACACTCAGCTTAAATGCCCTTTTCTCAGCCTTGTTAAACCTCTCCTCTCCTAGACATGTTGATTTCATCCAGTTTGATAAAACTAAATACATAACTGTTCTCATTCATACCTCAGGCTTGCTCTCTCTGTTTGCCCCCAAGACAACTCTGGGCCTAACAAATAAGCGGTACAAATTTATTTTCTTTACCTGGCTTTATTAATCTCTAGCTTTTTAGTTGCTACCACTCAGTTTTCTCCCACCTCTCACACACACCCCTTGTAGATTCTGTGTGTGCTATATGAGTAGAGGTTGTAAAGTTTAGTCACTGAAATAGTCCCAGTGTCCAACGTCATCCCTGAAACATCATAGACATTCAAGTATTTTATTTATTTTGAGGTTTGAACTCAGGGCCTCATGCTTGCTAGACAGGTGCGCTACCACTTGAGCTGGTCCACCAGCCCCATCAAATACTTTTTAATGCATGTATCTAAAACTAGCTGCACCACAATGTCTGTGATAATATTCCATGTTTTTTTAAGTAAATTTTTATTAGGATATATTCATGATACGGGGGGGGTTTCACAATGACAACTCTTATTAGACTTACACATTAGTTACATTGCCCCCTTCCATGTTTTTTGGGGGTTTTTTTTGGTTTTTTTGGTGGTGCTGGGGCTTGAACCCAGGGCATTGCTCTACCACTTGAGCCCTGCCCCCAGCCCCTCAGAAGGTATCTTAATAGTCTTCCATGGTCATCTCACCTGTGCTTATATTTTTATCTTTTGCTGTTCTTTGCACTTTGTGCTTGCCTCAATAATAATGAATTGCTTATGGCCGAAATAATTTGCACATTATCTCTTCATCCCATCCTTTTATTCAATCTCCTTTTCTGGAGGTCCTCCCCACTCTCCACACCTGTTTGCTAGCTAAATATTTGATAAAAGTGTATTTTTGGAAGAATACAGGTTAAATGCTCTTAGTATTATAGGATGGCAATTCTGGAAGAAAAAAAAAAACTTCCAGTTAAAACATAAGATTTCAGTTAAACCTACACCCATAATCATACAAACACTTAAGTGGGAAGGGATATTACAATATTATAATTCGGTGATTTTCTCATATATGGTGGTATTTCAAAAACCTGTCGTCAGAATTCTGATTAAGGCTTTTCCACTAATTATCGCTGTGACTTTGAGAAGATCATATGGGCTTTTTGGGCCTCAACTATAAAATATGAATACTCTCTAGAGTTTTACTTGAATATATATATATATACACAGACTCTACTAGTTGAACTAAAAAAACACATGCCAATTTTTACTTAGATTGTACCATTTGATAGTCACTATAGGCTTTTAAACACTGAAAAAAGTCATTTTGAAACGCAATTGGGGAAGTCTTTCAAAATCTCTTGTTAAGATCTTAGGCTGAGGGCATGGCTCAAGGAGTAGGGTGCCTGTTTAGCAAGTGAAAAGCACTGAATTCAAACCCCAGTACCCATTCAAAAAAAAAAAATCTCTTTAAGATCTTAATGTTCTTACGCTAGTCTTAGTTTCCAAATTACTATATATGCCAATGGTTAACTCTTAAGTATTAAAACTTATTTCAAAGCCAATTTTATTTCTGCTAAATTATCATTATGTTAACTATAAAGTAACATACCTCATGGAAGTTTTCTGCTTCTCTCTCTTTAATTTCAAGGTCAATTGCTCTCCTCCTTGCTCGTTGTTCTTCTATCTTTTTCTGTATTTCTTTTTCAGACAACTGTCCAATTTTTTCGAACTTGCTTTTTAGGTTTTTAGCTTGAATAGATCCACTCCTTTTTAATTTGATTAATTCCTCATACTCTCTGCTCAATCCAAAGGTTTCATTTTCTTCCTCTTCCTTAAAAAAAGAAATCATGATTTTTATATGTTGATTATCAGCAAATTACCATAGTTCTCCCCTTAACTGGTAGAAATATGTTTCCAGGTCATACAGTAGATGCCTGAAGCCACAGATAGTCCTGAATCCTATATGTACTGGTTGTTTTTCCTATTCATTCTTATTAAAGATATAGGCAACCTCAACATACATTTTTTTTTCCTTCCTGATTAAGTCAAGAACTTTTTCCACTCTTTAGCTGGGTGCCGGCGGCTAATATCTATAATCCTAGCTACTCCAGAGGCTGAGATCAGGAGGATCGAGTGACTCAAGTGGTACGTGTCTGCCTAGCAAGCATGAGGACCTGAGTTCAAAAACCCCGTACCACAAAAATACAGAGCTCTTTACTGCTTCTCTTTGGAAAATACAAATTTCCAGCATCACTAATCTTGTGCTTTGGGCCCATTATTAAGTAAAATATGGGTTATTTGAACACAATCACTGCTGTCTTGCAGCAATCAATGTGATAAAGAAGAAGGTTACTACTAAGTGACCAATGAGCAGGTAGTGTACACAGAGTGGGTATGCTGCACAAAGGGATGGTTCAAGACCTAGATGGAACAGTGAGATTTCATCATGCTACGTAGAAAACATCAATTAGTTTGAAACATGAATTGTTACTTCTGGAATTCTCAATATTTTCAGACCATGGTTGATCACAGAAAAGGAAACAATAGATGGGGGAAGCTATTATAGTTTGTACAATAAACCATCTAAAAACAGTGCACTGTTTAGACATTTTATTTGACTTCTTATTTGAAGTCAAAAATCAAACAGTGTTCAAATGTACTAACTAAAAGTGGTATTACAAATTTAAAACTTTATAAAGCATTCTATTCCATTTAAAATATTTTTTTCAGGGAATATAGCTAAAAACCCCTATCATTCCATAATAACTTAGAAAAACAAAAAAAAAGCATGGGAAATTAATTTTTACTAGAAATTGCAGAAAGACTTTTTGTTAGGAAAAGGCAAAAAACAGAATTGAAAGAACACTAGGCTAGAAGTAAGACATGAGCTATATAGTTCTGGGTGTGATGCTGTGTGGCCTTTTGCCTAGTTGTTTAACCCACTGGGCATGATTTTCCTCATCTTTATATAAAGCTAGAGTACCTCAAAAATTTTTTCTATGTTTGATTTTTTTTTTTTTTTTTTGGCAGTGCTGGGGTTTGATCTCAGGGCCTACATCTTGAGCCACTCCACCAGCCCTTTCTTGTAATGGTTTTTTTCGAGATAGGGTCTTGGAGCTATTTGCCTGGGCTGGCTTCGAACTGAAATCCTCCTGTTCTGACTCCTGAGTAGCTAGGATCACGGGTGTGAGCTATCAGTGCCCAGCTCTATCTTTGATTTTATGGTAATCTTGTAAAGTTAAATATCACTCAATACTCAAGCTAATAAGTATTTTTGGAGATGTAAACTGGTAATTCCTAGGGTGTCTGTATTTCACTGTGTCTTCAATTCTGTCAGGAAAGAAAAAAGCCAATCAAAACAGGGTTCCAGTTCCTTGTACTATTATTTCTTGTTCTTTTATTCAAGTTTCTTTCCCCTGACTTTTCATTATTTATTTGCTTATTTTTCATTTTCTATTTTCTTGTAGTACTGGGGATTGATCCTAGGGCTTTGTGCATGCTAGATAGGCACTCTACCTCTTGAGCCACATGGTAAAATACTGCAAGTATCCCTCATAACACTTTTCCTGAAAAACACCTACAGTTCAAGGCAAAGTTGAAAACAAAAGATCCACATGGATAATGTGACTTGGAGGCCTAAATTCTTGGCACAACCAAGGAATAAAAGAGAAAATGTATTATTTTAACTACATTCACATTTTTAGAACAAATCATAAAATACCATAACTGGCAAATTTATGATACACATCATTTTACAATGGTTTCTAAATACTAATTAAAATTAATGATTGAACTAATTTGCCAGTCTGATTGGACTTAGGATGCTACATGCTTGAAAACTCCCAGATACAGTAGGGTAATTCAATGACATGAATTACCAGTCTGAAGTTAAATACTATTATATTAACTATATTACATCTCAACATATTCTACTTTAGAAGTAGTTTTCACAGACAACTAGACTATTCATTTTCATTAAATAAGTGCTATTAAATTATTTGAGGGTGAGGGAGAAGGTAGACCTTGGAAAATTTTCATGGCATTATTTTTGTTTTGTTTTGTGTTTTTGGCAGTATTTGGAGTTTGAACTCAGGGCCTCACACTTGCCAGGCAGACACTCTACTGCTTGAGCCACTCCATCAGCCAATTGCCAGCTCTTCCCCATGGTATTTTATTCATACATTTATTATATATAGGGCATTTGTATTCTCAGGGCCAGCTAGATAATTTGCTGACCAGGACAGGGAAGTAAAACTTTCCATAACCTACAGCCCCAATATATGATAGGCAACTTCCAAGAGACTGTGTAGAGACCCACTCACTTCTTAGATCTGGAGTTAAGAGATGACACTACCAAGTCACCTGCCAAGCATGCCATGGCACTGCCAGTCCAAGGCTGGAGCCATCACTGCTCACCCTGCCTCACATCACAAGCCTTTGTGCTGCCAACCCTATTCATATATATGGCCTGTAACCACCAGTGGCCCATAGTGACAGTAAGTATGGATCCCCTCTATTCCCTTCTCAACTGCCTATAAAGCCCGGGCCATCCAGACAGGAGAACAACCGCTAGGTATGGTACCTATAAGCAGGGATTTAGGAAGAAAGTTGCTGAGTCCCGGGAAGTAGGTGGACAGCAGAAAGTGTGGCTGTGACAAGGTTCCAATGCCCTAGCATTCCATGTGCAATTAGCTTTTACTTAGAACACACAAAAATATAATTCTACTTTCAAGATGGCAATCTCAGAGCATTGATTCACATATACAGGACCCTTCTGAACAATAGGTCCTGTAAATACACGAGCTGAACCCATGAAGCTGGCCCTGAAGAGTCTGTATGTTTAATTCAGCTCAACACTAGAGAGACTATACTAAGACATTTAATAGCATCAGAGTTTCATCTTAGAATAATTTAGTAAAATAAAATAATTCAAATACCTGCCAAAATTTAATAAAATGACTCAAATACTTGCCAATGAGGTTGGGGGTATAACTCAGTGTTATAATGTGTGTTTAGTATGCATAAGGCCCTGGGTTCAATCTCTGGTACCAAAACCAAAAATAATCAACAACCAAAAAACAACAAAACCAGCCAGGCCTGGTGGTTCGCCTGTGTAATCCCAACTACTCAAAGGTAGAGACTGTGAGAACTGCAGTTCAAGGCCAGCCCAGGTAAAAAGTTAATGAGACCACATCTCAATGAAATAACTAGGTGTGGTGGTGCACACCCATCATCCCAACTACACTTGGAAAACTTAAGTAAGAAGGGATCTAGGTCAACCAGGCAAAAACCCCAACACCCTACCTGGAAACTGAAGCAAAAAGGACTAAGGAAGTGGCTTATGTGATAAAAGTGCCTACCCAGCGAGCATGAAGTCCCGAGTTCAAACCCCAATACCACAAAAAAAAAAAGAAAGAAGAAGGAACTACAGTAATATGCCAGTCATTTGCAGATTTATAATAGTTAAACTCACAAGAAAGGAGTAGAGTTATGGTATACTAGAAGGAACACATAACTACCCAGAGGCCTGTATGAAGGCCAGACTCCAGAGCCTGACAGAATAGCCTTTGTGTGAATAATACAAAGTTACTGTAAAATACTTAACTTAAATACAAATGGTATATAAATGGATACTTCTTAAAATCTTACCTCTCCCATTTCTTGTCTCAGTTGTTCAAATTCTTGTTTCTCCATTTCTAGCTTTTGCTTCCGTTCCTCCTCTGTTCGTCGTCTTTCTTCTTCCATTTTTTGTTTTAATAATTCTTCAAAATTAATTTCCAGTTTTCCAGGTGTAAGAGATTCTTGAGAGAATGTTTTATACATCTCTGAGGAGTCATCATCTACTGCCTATTTAAAATAATTATCATTTTTGTCAGAATTATGCATACTGAAAGGGGAATATTTCTTGTAGAAACTGAGATTACTTGAAGAAAGGGTTAACATTGAACTAAAAATCAGGAGATCACAAACTCTCTTCAAAAATAAAAAACAGCCAGGCGCCAGTGGCTCACACCTGTAATCCTAGCTACTCAGGAGGCAGAGATCAGGAGGATCATGGTTCAAAGCAAACCCAGGCAAACAGTTTGCAAGACCCTATCTCAAAAAAAAAAACCTTCACAAAAAAGAGCTGGTGGAGTGGCTCAAGGTGTAGGCCCTGAGTTCAAGCCCCAGTACCACAAAAAAAATATAAATAAATAAAAAGCAATAATCAAGGAGGAGTTATTAGAAAATATCAGGTATTTTGTGGCTATGGAGGAAATGATAACCATTCTCTCCTATAATGAACAAAAAATACTTTTCACTTTAAGAGTGATTTGGGTTAGACATTAATATTTTAATAATAATGAGAACATTTTAATTGGATTAAAATGAATCTCCATTCTGGTAACCAAAATATAACATTTTAGTTAAATCATAGTCTTATCTGAAGGAATTAGATATCCCATTATGAACTCTTCATATTAGAAAAACAAAACCCTATAATTTTATTATACTGATTATTTGCTGCCAGGATAATTTTGAAGAAATAACAGTTAATATTGACTTAGAGCTGTCAGGTATAGATATAACACTTTACATGTATTAAATTATTTAATCCTATAACCTTATGAAGGAAGTTAGTATTAATATCATTTTACAGATAAGGAAATTAAGTCACTGAAAAGTAATTTTCCCAAAGTCAACATAAATCTAAATAGCAAAACTGAGATTCAAGCTTCAAAATATTTCTAATAAGACTATAAATAATAATTTAGGGCCAAGAATGGTGGCAAATACCTTCTAATCCCAGTACTTGGGAGGCTGAGGTAGGAGGATAATGAATTCAAATCTACTCTAATCTACACAGCAAGTTCCAGGCCATGCTGGGCTACATAGCAAGAGCATGTCTCAAAAAAACATAATAATAATATCTGAGACTGCCTTTTTGTAATCTCATGAATTTACATTAATAATTTAAATTACTTTGAATAAATATTTGCATTTGGTTGTGACCTCTAGCCTCTCTTAGTTTCCTTATCTATGGCAACTTTTATATGGTTATCATGAGGATTAAATAAAATTTGGAAACAATAGTGTGTCTAACATCACAGTCAGCCCCAATAGTAGTTTTACTATTACATTATCATCCCCTGTATGTAGGAATTGCAAATAGAAACTTTGCTTTTAAGTTGTTGACTTAGAATACATTTTATGACACACAAAAAAAATGATCTAATTCTATTTTCCTATCAGCTGAGGGTATATAGACCACTGGCCTCAACTGTGGCCCTGAGGTTGAAATAAACATTAGGGAAGAGAGTCAAGGGGTTATTTATTTGGAATCCAAGTTTTACCAAGGCTTTAAAACCCAGGCTTTACCACAGAACTAATTCAACTCAAAAACAATATTTAAATAGCTTCACAATCCAAAGATTGCCCCAAATATTCATTTAAGGAAACACAAGAGGCCACGAATAGCCAAGGCAATACTCAGTCAAAAGAACAATGCTGGAGGTATCACAATACCTGACTTCAAACTATATTACAAAGCAATAACAATAAAAACAGCATGGTACTGGCACAAAAACAGACATGAACACAGTGGAACAGAATAGAGGACCCAGATATGAAGCCACACAACTATAACCAACTTGTCTTTGACAAAGGAGCTAAAAATATACGATGGAGAAACAGCAGCCTCTTCAACAAAAACTGCTGGGAAAACTGGTTAGCAGTCTGCAAAAAACTGAAACTAGATCCATGTATATCACCCTATACCAAGATTAACTCAAAATGGATCAAAGATCTTAATATCAGACCCCAAACTCTAAAGTTGATACAGGAAAGAGTAGGAAATACTCTGGAGTTAGTAGGTATAGGTAAGAATTTTCTCAACGAAACCCCAGCAGCACAGCAACTAAGAGATAGCATAGATAAATGGGACCTCATTAAACTAAAAAGCTTCTTTTCATCAAAAGAAATAGTCTCTAAACTGAAGAGACCACCCACAGAGTGGGAGAAACTATTTGCCAGCTACACATCAGACAAAGGACTGATATCCAGAATATATAGGGAACTTAAAAAACTAAATTCTCCCAAAACTAATGAACCAATAAAGAAATGGGCAAGTGAACTAAACAGAACATTCTCAAAAGAAGTAATTCAAATGGACAAAAAACACATGAAAAAATGCTCACCATCGGTAGCAATAAAGGAAATGCAAATTAAAACCACACTAAGATTCCACCTCACCCCTGTTAGAATAGCCATCATTAGCAACACCACAAACAACAGGTGTTGGCGAGGATGCGGGGAAAAAGGAACCCTCTTACACTGTTGGTGGGAATGTAAACTAGTACAACCACTCTGGAAAAAAATTTGGAGGCTACTTAAAAAGCTAAACATTGATCTACCATTTGATCCAGCAATACCACTCTTGGGGATATACCCAAAAGACTGTGACACAGGTTACTCCAGAGGCACCTGCACACCCATGTTTATTGCGGCACTATTCACAAAAGCCAAGTTATGGAAACAGGATGCCCCACCACTGACGAATGGATTAAGAAAATGTGGTATCTATACACAATGGAATTTTATGCAGCCATGAAGAAGAACGAAATGTTAACTGGTAAATGGTGGAATTGGAGAACATCATTGAGGTTAGCCTGGCACAAAAGACCAAAAATTGTATGTTCTCCCTCATATGTGGACATTAGTTCAAGGACAAACACAACAAGGGGATTGGACTTTGAGCACATGATAAAAGCAAGAGCACACAAGGAAGGTGTGAGGATAGGTAAGACACCTAAAAAATTAGCTAGCATTTGTTGCCCTTAACGCAGAGAAACTAAAGCAGATACCTTAAAAGCAACTGAGACCAATAGGAGAAGGGGACCAGGAACTAGAGAAAAGGTGAGATCAAAAAGAATTAACCTAGAAAAATCGTATGTTCTCCCTCATATGTGGACATTAGATCAAGGGCAAACACAACAAGGGGATTGGACTATGAGCACATGATAAAAGCGAGAGCACACAAGGAGGGATGTGGATAGGTAAGACACCTAAAAAACTAGCTAGCATTTGTTGCCCTTAACGCAGAGAAACTAAAGCAGATACCTTAAAGCAACTGAGGCCAATAGGAAAAGGGGACCAGGACCTAGAGAAAAGGTGAGATCAAAAAGAATTAACCTAGAAAGTAACACACAGGAAATTAATGTGAGTCAATGCCCTGTATAGCTATCCTTATCTCAACCAGCAAAAACCCTTGTTCCTTCCTATTATTGCTTATACTCTCTCTACAACAAAATTAGAAATAAGGGCAAAATAGTTTCTGCTGGGTATTGAGGGGGGGAGAGGGAGGGGCGGAATGGGTGGTAAGGGAGGGGGTGGGGGCAGTGGGGAGAAATGAACCAATCCTTGTATGCACATATGAATAATAAAAGAAAAATGAAAAACAATAAAAAAATAAAGTGAAAAACATCAAAAAAAAAAAAAAGAATTAACCTAGAAGGTAACACACAAGCACAGGAAATTAATGTGAGTCAACTCTCTGTATAGCTATCCTTATCTCAACTAGCAAAAACCCTTGTTCCTTCCTATTATGGCTTATACTCTCTCTTCAACAAAATTAGAGATAAGGGCAAAATAGTTTCTGCTGGGTATTGAGGGGGTGGGGGGAGAGGGAAGGGGCAGAGTGGGGGGGAGAGGAAGGGGGTGGAGTGGGTGGTAAGGGAGGGGGTGGGGGCAGGGGGGAGAAATTACCCAAACCTTGTATGCACATATGAATAATAAAACAATAAAAAAAATTCATTTAATATATGAGTGAACTGAGCTGTAGCATGAAATTATAATACTTGGTCCTGGATAAGAAACAACATAAGAAGTTTTTCTTTTTTCTCTCTTGATACCAAAATGTCTAGGAAACTTGGTTTGGTGTAATACATTTATTCCTTCTCTTAGTTTTTCACTATTGAATCATGGTAAAAACACAGTTTAGACCTAAAAAAAAAAAAAAGAAAAGAAAGAAACCTGGTCCATGACTAGGTCTCCTGACCTACTTCTCACCTTGTTTTCAAAAACCTAAATGCTTTCACAGTGTTCATAGGATTTCTATGTAGAAACTATTTCTGAATCGGGATTACCTAATACTAGATTGTTAGGCTGGTTTTTTATTTGTTTTTCTTTGTAGGGCTGGGGATTGACACCAGGGCCTTGTACATGCTAGGTAACTGATCTACCACTCAACTACATTCCTAGCCCCACACAAGATAGTTTAAATATCACTTATTTTCTAAAACCTTTATTGGAAGTCTGTTAGGCTAGGCATAGTGCCATATGCCTGATGAACAGTTTCACCCTCATTGAGTGAAAAAAACAGCCATATTTGATAACAATACATCTTTAATGCTATCTCAGGGGAGTATTAAATGCCAAAACATATACAGTGTGTCTATTGTCAGGAAAGGCTTCCCAGAGGAACTAGTTTATGAATAGAAGATAGCAGGGCATATGGGATGGAGAGAGTGACATGTTTCAGACAGTATTTGTGAAGGTTCAGAGGTTCTCAACTTTGAAGAAATAGAAAGAAAGTATATCTAGAACAAAGATGGCAGATTAAATTAGAATCAAGAAATGAAACTGAGCGGGGCACTGGTAGCTCACCCCTGTAATCCTAGCTGCTCAGGAGGCAGAGATCAGGAAGATGTGGTTTGAAGACAGCCTGGGCAAATAGTTCATGAAACCCTATCTCAAATAAAACCATCACAAAACGGGCTGGTGGAGAGGCTCAAGGTGTAGGCCCTGGAGTTCAAACCCCAGTGCCACAAAATAAAATTTTTAAAAAAATGAAATTGAAGCAATATAAAAGGGCAAGATTATAAGGGAATTTATATTTAAGATTTTGGATTTTCTTTTGTTTACAGGAAGTGGGAAGATGTTAAGCCAAAGTACAAAAGCAGTAAAAAAATTTCTTTTGTTTTTTTCCTTTGAGAAATATTACTCCATGGAGTGGGGGGAGCTCAGAGGTAAGAATCTGAGGCCCTGGGTTCAACCCCAAGTTCAATAAATAAAAAGAAAAAAGATCACTCCTGTCCTTATAGAAAAGAATGAACCACAGGCAGAAAGCAAGCAAATTAGGAGTTGGTGTGAAGGAATAACAATAACCTGGATTACGGTAATAAGAACAGAAAATGTGGGAAAACTGATAGATTTCGGAGTAAGTTAAGAGGATAGAATAAATGAGAATTGGTAACCAATTAGTTGTCTATCCTGAATGAAAAGGTAGAATTGTTTCAAACTCCTGAGTCTCTGATTTGAGCATACAGGTGAATGATTAAGCCAAATAAACACTTGGATATATGTCTTTGAAGTTCATGCAGGCAGAGGGAATATAACAGGTTATTATACCACTGAACCCAATTAAAATGTTTCAAGAAGGGGATGCAGTGTGCTTGTGTCAAACTGCTTGAAAACACTTTGTCAAATAACGGTACATTTTCCAAAGGTTAATGTGATATGGAAAGTATAACCTTGTGATACTTAAATATCAATAGCTAGGAGTGATGAGCATTTTGGAGTGTTAAATAATTATGATTAAATGACTCACTATATGGGATGAAGGGCAGACTGTAGGAGGTCCACATATTCCTAAAAGATGGTGATTAATCAGAAGGAAAAGACACCTCTTCTCCTTCCCAAGAAACACCTGTTTGCATCAGAGAGACACCTCTTCTTCCCAAGAGACCAAAATCTCCACCCTCTGGCAATAAAGAAACTATTAACCCCAACTTCCAACCTGACCCAGGGGTCTACCTGTTTCCAGTCCCACTGTATGTGGCCCATGCAGCCTTTCCTTTCTCTTCTCTGCAAATAAGACTTCTCTGCTCAAGTCCACCCTTGATTTCCATCTAAGCACAGAACAACGGACCCTCACCACCCAAGGATCTCAGCACATCAAATCCTTGGCGACCACAAAGGGACACTTCTTCTTCACTTGAGGTTGGTACAGGTTGAGCCAAACTGGAGGGTACTGCTTAGGAAGTGGCCATGATCATTTGGCACTCTGATGGAGTCCATCCTCCAGGAGAGCCCACCCACCATGGCTTAGCTGTGGTGGAGCTCTCAGGCTGACCTCTCTCTCTCTCTAAAGAGGGTTTCTCCCTCAAGTCCACTACAGCTGTTAAGGCAGGCAACCCAAGAAATCTGGGGCTAGCCTGGGCCTTATAATGGACTGCCAGTGCTATGTGGGCAGAGCTAAAACCTCAGTGCACTGAGGCTTTTTTCCTCTCAACTCTCAGCTTACCCACTCCTTAAACCCTCTTCCTTTCAGATCTGACCCACTAAGGAGGGGGTCCGAAAACGCTGGGAAGGAAAGTTTCCCTTCGAGCTGCAAGGATGCTCTTGCCAGGGCAACCCCAGGGTGGGACCCAAAGGCTGAGGGTGCAACTTCCTGGCCCACCCTGAGGCTCCAAAGGTGACAAAGTATGGAAATACCTCCTGCAATTTCCAACCCACACAGACAATACTTAGCAACCTGACCTGGGGTACTACCAGTTTCTGGTCCCACTGCATGTCCCCCATATGGACTTTCCTTTCTCTTCTCTGCAAATAAAACTTCTCTGACCTTTGCTACTCGAGTCCACCATTGACTTCCACCTAACCACGAAACGACAGACCCTCAACCACCTGAGTATCTTAGCGCATCAGGGATGTAAATTTAAAGGAAAGAAAAGAAGAAATGAAGGAAAAATAGAAGCAGTGTAGAAAGGAAGGGAAGGAAAGAATGAAAAGGAAGAATGGGTAAATGGGGTGAGGAAATTTCCTGCTTCTTCCTTTGATAACTCAGTTTTATAAAAAGCACACTTTCCAGAGACAGAAACAATCCTTTATACCAGGCATGGCAATTTAATCACCACCTCTTTAACATGAAATTGAAGTAAATACCTTCAAATGACTAGTGATACTCCATGGGAGACTTTCAAATCTATTTGCCACTGCTACTCTTGGCATAGATTCCAGAAATAAAAGGGGATTCCTCACAGTAATGATTTTAATAGCATACTCTAAAAGCTGAATCGTAATGGCACTAGGTTCTGTCTCACCATGCTCCTCCGTGCTTCAGCAAATGCCTTCTTTTCTTCCTCTATTCTCCTTCTGGCTTCTTCTTCTGCTTTCCTTTTTTCATCTTCTCTCCTTTGCCTTTCTATTTCCTCAAAACTGAGTTTGAGTTTACCAGAGCGGTACCCTTTAAAAGTTTTTTCTGTGTCTTGGTTTTCCTCCTCTTCATTTACCTAATCAAAAAGCCAATTCATTGCTAAGTACTGAAAATCATTAAGACGGGAATGAAGGATCAATCAAAAGGCACAGTCTTAGCTACTTCATATAGGAGTGTTTCAATGGCCTTACTATACTTGGCCAAATCTTCTTCCTTTTTAATGTCTTATGTAATAAAATATTCAAATTTGGAGAAATGCCAAAGAAAGATGTACTCAAATAAAATTTTTCAATCAAGTTTTTAAATAAGATGGAATATTTTAATTTGTTTTGTTGGTACTCAAGTTTGAACTCAGGACCTTGTGGTTGCTAGGCTGGCAGGTGCTGTACTATTTAAAGTCACCCATCACCCCACCCCCCCCCCCCAGTGCGCTCATGCGTGCTCTCTCTCTCTCTCCCCCTTCCTCTCTTATGGGACTGACCTTTGAACTAAGGGCTTTGCCTTTACAAAACAGACACTCTACCAATGGAGCCACACCTCCTTTTTTGCCCTCTCAGGACCTCACATATGTTAAGCAGGTCCTCTGTCACTTGCGCCCCTCAGTCACATACAATAATTATACAGGGGAGATACATTGTGACATTTATAAATGTGCTTACAATATATCTTAATTAGATTCACCCCTTCCATTCTTCTCCCTCGTCTCTCCTTCCCACTTCTTAGAACAATTTCAACAGAGTTTGTCCTATTTTCAAAAACGAATACAAATACTTCCACCATATTTCCTTCATTTCCCCTCTCCTTTTTGCCCAACCCCCTCTCACTGATACCCACCCCTGGACAGGACATGTTTTACCTTCTCATCATTCATTTCATATTTTTAAAAGTTTTAAGGAGTCACACTGAACATTAACTCTCCCAGAGCAAGCCTACAGTGCATGTGTGTACTCAAATTGAGGTTCAAGTATACCTATACAGTCTTTTTGGTAGTAAAATAGTTTTTCTTTAACTATGAACTGTAGTACTTTTCCTTATATTAATTAGATAAATGGTTATCTAGAATTATTTTATATAAAATTCAAGCTACATGATTTATTTTATTGGATTTATTTAAATATTAATTGAAGTTTATTATTTAACAATATTTTTATTAAGTTGATTGCCAGTGATATTTAAATGTGTAGGTAGTACGCAACTGTAATTATCCAAGTAATAACATTTTCAAATACTTGTCCAGAAAATTAAAATTTTTGATATATAGTCCTTAAAGTATTATTAATGAAAGCTGGTCAAGAAAATTGTGTTGACTTTGAAAACGAATATAGTAACCTTAAACTGGCAGAGGCCACTATGGGAAGGGGACTAGGAAGTAGTGAGGAGGTCTGGTGGAGATGGTGGAGATGAAACAATGTGGGTTGTAATACTTATGTGCATTGAAACAACACAAGGAATCTCCCTGTGTAGCTATCCTTATCTCAAACTAGCAAAAATGCCATGTTTCTCTATTATCTTTAATGTTTTTTCTTCAACAAAATCAGAGAACAAGAGGGCAGAACAGGTTCTACCTGGAGGTGGGGGAGGGGAGGAAGGCCCAAATAATGTATTCACATGTAAATAAATGTAAAAATGATAAAATACAATACAATAAAATTTTTTTTAAAAAGAAAACTATAGATGTTCCATTTTTAAAATCCTTAAAATGAGATTTGGAATCAGTGCTTTCTTATTTCAATTTTTTTTTATAGATAAATCTTTTACTACCATAATAATAATAATAAAAAACATTTGTAGACCACTTAATATATATGCCAAACACTATTTTAAATCTTTTCAAGATACTAATTCATTCTAACATTTAAGAAGCAAGTATTCTCATTGTCACCATTTTACCAATGAGAAAACTAAAACATAGAGAATTTAAATAATGAGTCTATAGTTACAGTTAATAATGATTGATATATAAATCCAGGCAACTGGCTCCAAAATACATGCTCTTAACCACCACCTACACACACATCCCCCATATACTTTATGGACAAGCAGCATATTCCTTAATAAATTGTTACTTTAATGTGCTCAAATATTTGAAAAACTAGGCCGAAACTAAATGTGCACTTATAATTAGACTTAAAAATGTCCTGCAACCATGTCATTAAATACACTGCTGAATTAGTAGATGAAGAGAAAACAGGTTCATTGAGTAATTATTTTTGCACATTTTTATATTAATAACAAGATAAAAATAAAAATTTAAAGCATATTGAGAAAAAAGTCCCAAAATAGAAACTTGAAAACAATACAGATGAATTTTATATATGAAATATGTATACAGTTTCATAATCAGGATCTTTTATATAGAAAATCTGATTGAATTTTTGATAATAAAACTTATCTTAAACTAGCTTCCCTAATATTAAATGTAAGGTTTAAGTATATATATATATATATATACACATATATATTTACCATTTGCCTCCTTGCTTCTTCAAAAGCACGCCTTTCTTCTTCTAAACGTTGTCTTGCTTCCTCTTCAGCTTGCTTCTTTTGGTTTTCTTGTCTTTTTCGCTCCAATTCTTCAAAAGTTAGCTTCAGTTTTCCAGGAAAAAGTGATTCTTGTTTTGCCCCACTTTCCAGTTCATCATCCTATGAAAACAAATCTGTTAGTTATAAAAGAAAATGCTAACTTAACTATTTTGATTTATTCTTTAAAAAAATTACTTTAAGATTGGAGGCATGGCTCAAGAAGCAGAGCATGAAGCCATGACTTCAAACCCCAGTCCCACTAAAAAGAAAAAAATTACCATGACCAATGAAAGACACTTTGCTTCCTTGAGAGATCGTCTCTGTTCTTCATATCTTATTCTTTTATCTTCTTCATACTTCATCCTTTCTTTCTCTTCTCGTTCTTTCTCTAGATCTTCAAAATTCTTTTTTATTTTTCCAGATGTTTTATATGATTTGACAGGTACCACTGTTATAAGTAGTGAATCATCTCCTTCCTATTTTATAAGATAGATAATTAGCATATATCTTCTTAATAAAAATTTAGGCCTTAGGGACTTTACCTCCATAATTGGTGAATTTCATTACATTGCCATCTATAATTATGAAGAATAAAAATTATAATTTTTACTAATAACTATTAAGTATATCACTCTAACTTTGCTTCATATTATTAATTTTATCAAAATCCATTGCTGGCAAAGTTCAAGAAGCATTCTGTTTCCTGGAAGGCAGAATCGATAGTCCCGATCAGATAAAGCTGTAGTGACATTGCCGGAATTCAGCTCTCTGTGCATCATCCCACAAAAGGTAAGGTATATGTGAGTGTACTCTAAGTCAATTTGATGGTAGACAGATTCAAGTTAAATGTACAATAAAATTTCTCCATTTTTTTTCTCTATGCAAGTTTATAAATATGTAATGAAACTAGTTTTTAATAAGAAAAGTCACAGGATATCCAAGTGATTTGTTAAACATTTATAATACAGATAAAACTCTGTAGCATTGTAACCTATTAAAATATTTTAAAGTGTATTTTAATTGATTTAAATTAGTTCTACTACATAATCTATTAGGTCACTTTTTTCAAAAATAGTTATAAAATGTGACACATGCTCCTAAAAGAAAAATTTTCCAATCTATTAGCTTGTAGGTTAGGCATACCATCAAATTGATTAATTTTTTTAATTTGTTAGATAAAAAGGACTGACTAAAGCTTCTGTAGTTACTGAGCATTCCTTTGTGGCCATACACACTGCACTCTATACTAGTATGAGAAAGTAAAACACAAACCATCAGGAACTCTGAGGAAAGAAGACAAACAATGAAGAGGAAGCTGCTTTTTAAAAAATGTTAGCTTTCAATGGTCTCAACTGTTAGTTCAAGAATATATAGTACTGGCAGAGTATCCCAAACTGAGACTAATTAGACTTGTATTTGTAATCTAACTATGAAGCAAAAACATACTTTTCTTTAAAAACACTAAGCTAGAGTGTTTGAAAGTACAAAAGTATGATTTTGCTATTGCAAATATTCTTTTTATTGTTATGTTTATAATAAAAAGAGTGAAATAAAAGCCCTTAGGTTACAAGGTAATTTGTGAATCAGATAATTTTAAGTGAATGTGTCATTAAAGGAATGTCTGTTTACCTCTGATGCTGATTCAGTTCCCGCATTGTTTACGTCCTCAATCTATTGATGAGGAATTTCCATGTCTTACAGTACATTGGATTTCTCTTGTGCTCTGGCACACACACTAAAAGTACTTATTGTGGCTTCTGTGATGGAGATTTCAAATTTGTAATTTTTGAAATATTTTTATGTTGCTCTGAATTAGCTAAATGTCCTTTTAAATGGAAATTAAACTTTATTAGTTTTTGCATTTTGTTACCAACATCAATATCCAGGGAACAGAATATTAGGAAAAAATTAAGATAAAGCCTACCTTTGCAAATCTGGAAATTGAATAATGGACCAAATTCTTGACCTGGCTATGAGCTTACAAGGAGCAATTAATTTAATTAGCAATTTAAACTGAGATACACAAAAATATTCCTCCATACTCTGTCCCTGCTCCAGGAAAAGGAAAATCTTTCATTATCAATCAAATAATTGTCATGAATATATTTTACAACATAAATATAGGGAAAAAATTAACTGGCACAAATAAAGTGTGGTAAAACATACAGGTTCATTTAGAACGAAAAATATTTTTGATAGTCATAATGTTTCTTCATATTTTGACCAGATTTGTGTTGGAAAATTTAAAACTGGGAGCTCAGTTGGGCATGGTCACTCATGCCTGTCATCCCAACTACTTGGAAGGCAGAGATGGGGAGGACTGAGGTTCAAGGCAAAAAGTTAGTGAGACCCCCTCTCAATCAGTAATACAGGCATGGTGGTTCATGCCTGTGATCTAAGCTACACAAAAGACATAGGTAGGAGGATCACAGTCCCAGGTCAGCTCTGGCAAAAAGTGAAACCCTATTTGAAAAATAATGAATGCAAAAAAGGACTGGAGGTGTGGTTCAAGTGGTAGAGCAATTGCCTAGCAAGCATGAGGCCCTGAGCCCAAATCCTAGGACCACCATGAAAAAAAACAAAAAAGTAGGGTCTTACTGTGGTCATTAGATCAGTGATTTATATGATGCAGTTCTTGAGATCTCAGGAAAAGCAGACACAAGCAATAGGAAAATAACCTTAGAAGGTAAAAATTCAGGACTGACTGGTGGTGTGATGGAGCTTGTGCTGGTGATGTGCTAGCACTTGCCTAACACGCCCCAGCATTACCAAAAAGAAAAAAAAATGGTAAAATTCAAATTGCTTATTTTCATTTAATTTGTTAAACCAGCGAGAGTTCCTCATGCAATTAAAGGGAATTTTGCTGTACTCTGTCTCATATTAGGAACTGGTTAAGTGTCATGTAATCTGGTTAGACTTTCCTATATTCTCTCTCAAGGAAGAAATAATAAATTTTACTCAGGTACCCAATTTCTTGAAAAATAATTATTCTGAAAAAAAACTTTATTTAAAAAACCTGCTTTTTATACTTTAGTATTTACTTTTAATAGTTTTTTGTTTGTTTGTTTTGAACTCAGGGCCTCACGAATGTTAGGTAGGCACTCTACCAATTGAATCACTCCACAGCCCTTATTTTTAATAGTCTTATTCAGAATATTTTTGTGTGCTACAGAATAATTTGATGTTATAGAATTACTTGTTGCGCTGATTTGCTATGTAAATTGTGAAAGTTTTATTGAATGATGTAATTTTTTTGGAGGTACTGGGAGATTTGAACTTAGGGCCTCACACTTTCTAGGCAGGCACTCTACCACTTGAGCCACTCCACCAGCCCTTTTTTGTTTTGGGTATTTTTGAGATAGGGTCTCATGAACTATTTGCCCTAGTCTGGCTTTGAACTTCGATCCTCGTGATCTCTGCTTCCTGAGTATCTAGGATTATAGGTGTGAGCCACATACAATAATGTATAATACTAAGAAAAATTTTACCTGGGAGAAGCAGCTCATGCCTGTAATCCCAGCTACTTAAGAGGTGGAGATTCAGAGGATTTGGTTCAAGGCCAGCCAAAGCAAAAAGTTACTGAGACCTCATCTAACCAATAAACTGGGTGTGGCACCCATCATCCCAACTATGCGGAATCTTAGTCCAAGAAAACTGCCTGAAAAACAACTAAAGGAAAAAGGGCCAGGCATGGCTCAAGTGATAGAACACCTGCCTAGAAAGCACAAAGTCCTGAATTCAAACCCAAGTACCAAAGGAAAAGAAAAATATTTTAATGGATCTATAATAACACAACTACAAAATAACTTGCCTTCAAAAGACTACTGACAGGGCTGTTGGAGTGGCTCAAGTTAGAGCACCTCACTCCAGTGCCTCAAAAAATATAAATAAAAAAACACTATTGACAACTCCTGTAGAAATCACATTAATTTCTCATCAAAAAGTTCCAGGAGATGTGGTGAGAAGTCAGATATTGAGAGTATGGGAAGTTGAACTTGGATATGTGGCTCAAGCAATAGAGCCCCTGCTTTGGGAGCAGCAGCTTTGCAAATGAAGCTCTGAGTTCAACCCCCAGTCCCATATTTACAAGACAAAATTACTATTTTACATAGTCTTAATTTAATAGGGCAAAAATCTCATTAATCAGAATTCTATGGCACCCTGAGGTAGCAAGTATTTGGAGTTACTAAAGAAAGTAGTTCTGGGGCTGGGGGAGTGGTTCAGATGGTTAAAGTGCAAGGCCCTGAGATCAATCCCCGGGACTCAAAAAAAGAAAGTAAGTAGCTCGTTTTTTGTGATTTTTTTTTACATCTATCTCTGTGAAGCCTACATCTTCATCATATTTAAACTCACTTCTTCAACATATACTTTTTCTTTGAGAAATCACTGCCTATGTGTTCCATTCTTGGGGTTGAAGTGGGTCTGAAAAATCTAGAAAATAATCAGTGCTGTAAAAACATACAAGACTTAAAAGAAAACTAAGTCCACATACATTCTCACTATATTCTGCCAAACACCATATATTTTAATTATGTACTTTATTTCCTTTTTAGAATTTATAATATATTTATATCATTGATAAAATTCTATATCTATATATTTTAATATAATTACATATTTATATATCTAATTTATAATCTCATATATTAATTGCATTTCTTTGTAAAATTTCACTGCAAAATGAGTGCTCATCTTTAACCACAAGAGGGGGCTAAAATACATAGATAGCATGCATTGTTCAGCTAATGAGCTGCACTTACCAGCACATACCAGCATTTGCTGCCATACAATGGCACAAATTTTTGTGCCACAGAAGTGGTTATTTGCGAAACTGGAGTTAATAAATTTCTTTGGCATGCAAGTATGATGTATGCTTTATTTTAATTATCACTTTTCTTTTTAGAACAGTAGTGAACACTAATGGGAGCACAGCAAACAGACTTAAGGCACTTAAAGCATCGCTTTAAAAGAACAGCATTTTAAAGTGTTGCAGTTAAAAGGCCAGCATTTTGTTTGGTGCTTATGGATAGTTTATGTGTGAAAACGTCCAACACTATAAAATCCCTGAACGTGTCAGGAAAAATAAGGAATGTAGACAGTATAAGAAATGTGGACAGAACGATAAGCTCATATGTAACAAATGTCATATCAATATTCCACCTTAATATAGGTATATTCTGCCCGTACCCTTCTGGGCACATCTGATAGTATATATTCTTACTTCAGATATTGATTTAGATTAGCTGCTACTAATCGGTTTATGTTGTATTAAAATATTTTAATTAAGCAGCATACTAACTAATTTTTCTTTGTATATAGTTTTAGAAGAAAATATCAACTGAATATTTAGTGTATACCTGCTCAGCCCTTTTTGCTAATTCACGCTGTATTTTCCTTTTTTCTAACATATCCTGTTCAATTCTGCGTTTCCGTTCCTCCTCCGTTCTTTTCCTTTGTTCCTCTTGTCTTTGTTTCTCCATTTCAGCAAATTTACCTTTAACAGTCCCTAAGAATACATGAAAAAATATTTGATACTTTGCTATGTTTCTGTCTTTTGTAATTTCACTTACAATTTACCCCTAGGTTTCTTACCTGTTAGCTTTGGGACATAAGCCTTTTCTATTTTAGAAGATACCTCTTCCTCATCATCAGAAGCAAGCATTTCTTTAATCTAGATGGTTAAATAAATTAGTATAAACACATGTCCCAAACTTAGACTAGACCATATTCAGTAGTTCCCTTATCTGCTATAGATACCTTCCAATCCCCAATGGATTCCTGAAACCACAGATAGTAATGAGTCCTATATTTATATGAGCATGTGGGAAAAAACATAGTTCATAGGTTCCATACCTATGATAAAGTTTAATTTATAAGTTAGGCATAATAAGATACTAAAAGTGACAATTATAACAATATACTATAATAAAATTTACTTAAAGCTTATGAGTTGTTTACTTCTGGGATTTTCCATTTAATATTTCAGACCATGTTGATTGTTACTGAACAGAAGCAAAACTGCAGTAAGGCAGAGGAACTGCTGTACATGCAGCTTAGTTTACAAAATACAGAACAGCATTTAAGTGTGAAAAAATAAATGACAAAGTGGAAACGAATAATTGTGCACAAGAGTAAGATAAAATAAAATAACCTCCTGCTTTCTCCTGTTCCGTCTCTTCTCTCTATTATATTGTTCTTTTCTTCTTTGCTTTTCATCTCTAGATCTCCTTTGATTTCTTTCTTCCCTGCTCTCTGCATGCTGCAAACTTATCCTTTACATCACCCTTGCCGCTTGGCACATTAGATTTTGGGACAGTTTAGATGAAGAAAGCAGATCTTCATTAGAGAAAAAGAAGAGAGACAGTTAAACAAAAAAGACAGAAGAAATTAGGTAGATAAGAATAAGCAATACAAAAATACTCATTAAGTGAAATATAACAATATACTATAATAAAATTTACTTAAAGCTTATGAGTTGTTTACTTCTGGGATTTTCCATTTAATATTTCAGACCATGTTGATTGTTAACTGAAACAGTGGAAAGCAAAACTGCAGATAAGCAGAGACTGCTGTACATGCAGCTTAGTTTACAAATACAGAAAAGCATTTTAAGTGTGAAAAATAAATGACAAAGATGGAAACGAATATGTGCACAAGAGTAAGATAAAATAAAATAACCTCCTGCTTTCTCCTGTTCCATTCTCTCTCTCTAATATATTGTTCTTTTCTTCTTTGCTTTTCATCTCTAGATCTCCTTTGATTTCTTTCTTCCCTGGCTCTCTGCATGGCTTCAAACTTATCCTTTACATCACCCTTGCCAAGCTTTGGCACATAGGATTTGGGGACAGGTTTAGATGAAGAAAGCAGAATCTTCATTAGAAGAAAAGAAAGAGAAGACAGTTAAAAAAAAAAAAGACAGAAAGAAATTAGGTAAAGATAAGAATAAGCAATACAAAAAATACTCATTGAAACAGAAAATAGAAATGAGTTTGAAACCTTTATTTGAACCATTACAACCTGATTAGATACTCTCTAAAACCTAAGTTGAAAAATAAAATCACAGAACTATGAGAGGAGAAATTTTGGTTAGGTTTTACTTTGCCTCTTTTTATACAGTCAGTGTAAGCACTAAGAGGCCTCCTCCTCCATTATTAAAGATTTAGATTTGACATCACTTGCTTAAAAGCTACCAAGATTAATTTCATAAGTTAGATGAAGTTGAAAACAAAGCAAAAGTTTAGATATTGAAGCCTAAATCACATATTGCGCTTTTGCTCTTCCCCATACCTAACAGAAGCAAAAGTGAAGGCCAGTCCTTTATGCCCCACTTGTGGCTGCGGTGCACCAGAGTCTGCACAAGCAGTGATTTATGTTGTTACCACAGCTCTGCTGCCACTTCCCTTAAATCATACAAATATGTGATAAGGCTGGGCTATCAGAAGAAACTCCCCAAGTGGTAAAAGAGCTTCCTAAAGAAGGGAAATTTATCTGGTAGAAGACTGGAGAAAAGATTTTCCTGTATTCTAAAACAAGGAAGGTAAATTATTTTCATCTTTTTGAAAATTAACTTGATAAGTTTCTACAAATAAAGTTTCAGTATCTCAGAACACACTAAATCTTTTCTCCTAACACTAATGGCAAATTGCTTAGCTAATATGTGGCATACCCAGACTATGTTTTTAAATCTACTATGTATCATTGACCACATAAGGTTTTTTTAAGTTTGTAATTTCAGAGTATTATCAACTGAGCTCTTAGAATTCTCAGTAACAACAGCCAAGAACCAGAAAAAAAGCTAAGAGAAATCTTACTGCAGCTGCTAGAAGAAAGAGCCAAGAAGGATCCTCCCCGACAGTGAATTATCACTTTGTCCTGTGAGATTAGGGTAAGCCCCATTTTTAAATACTGAGAGTCATTTCTAAGATTTACCAACATAATTAAAATCCTACTAAAGATGCTAGCCATCACATCCCATCCACTACCATTCATGAATTTAGTACTGTTCCCTAGAATCCAAACGAAAATGCTTACCCAAAACCAGCCCATGAATTGTATCTCCTTGTTTTACACCTTAATGTTACGTTATTAACTCCAAACTCCTAAACATGATGCCGTCACCAAATGATGGCCTCTTCAACAATTCTACAGCTAATCCTAGTCATGTTTCTCTCTTTTCTTTCTCTCTAACGTTTGAGACTTACCTCAGCCTTTTGGGAAATATCATTCATGTTTGCTCTATGTGGTTTTGGGCTGATGAAGCTTTGTATATGTCTGTATCTGTAAAAAATTTTAATATCATATAAGAATTTTAATGACTTTATTTTCAATATGTTATATATTTCTGTAAAAATAGCCTGTTAATTTAACCTAAAAATGCAAGCAAGCAGTAAGTTGTGATAATCTTCAGCTCCTTTTTCCAAGATTCAGGGTACAGAAAATACAAGGTGCTTGGTGTTAAAAGATCCCAGAGAGTATATGACTCAGAATAGTTTGGTGAACACATCAAATGCATTTGAAAAGAATGTACATTCTGAAATTATTCCATGTATTATAAATACCAAATCAATTAAAGTGGCTGATCACATTTTAGATTTTCTATCAGTCTTCAACTGTAAAGAATTTTCTACTTCTTCCTTTAATTTTATCATTTTTATTTCTATTATTAATATTGTTATTCAGAAATAGCATTGCAGTGGGAGTATGTGAGCCATAGTAAACTATGTGTGTAGTCAAAGAGGTTAAAGCAGGGGAAGTTTGTGTTGTCGTTATTATTGTTTATCAGCATTGGGAATGGAACACAGGGCTTTGGAATTGCTACGAAGTGCTTTACAACTTGAACTATGTCCTCAGCCTTTATTTTGAAGCTTTATCTTGCTATGTAAGCACAGACTGGTCTGAAACTCACTAGGTAACCTAGGCTGGTCTCCAACTCACAACCCTCCTGCCTCAGCCTCCAAGTGCTGAAATTACAAGTGTGCACCACCATGCTTGGCTCTCAGGTTCCTTCACATACAGACACATTACGATTATAATTTTTGTTTGGAATTGACCTTTTCATCAGTATGATTGTCTTTGACTTATCTGATATTAAAATAGCCACACCAGCTTTTTTAGGTTCAGAATTTGCGTGGAGTATAATTTCCTCCCGTTTACTTTCAACCTATTCATATGTAAAATGTATCTCTTAGACATGGCATACGATTGGACTTTGCTTTAAAAACTAATTCTGATTCTGTCTTTTAACTACAACATTTAATTCATTAACATTTAATGTAATTGTTGATAATAATGGATTCAGGTTTACTATTTTATAATTACTTTCTTTTAGGTTTTTTTTTTTTTTTTTTTTTTTTGGTGATACCAGGGTTTGAACCCAGGGCCTCACACTTGCTAGCCAGGAGCTCTACCACTTGAGCCACTCTGCTAGCCTTACTTTTATTTAAATTACTGTTTTAAGACGGGGTCTCACTGCATTGCTCAGGCTGGTCTCCAACTCCTGGGCTCAAGCGATACCTCCTGCTTTAGCCTCCTGAGATGCTGGAGCGACAGTCATGAACTGCTGTACCTGGCTATTTTACTTTTAATTGACTTTGATTTTTAGAGCAGTTTAGGTTCACAACAAAAAAACCTAACATTTAGGATTACAAATATTTCCCATATAGACTTTATCCCCACATATACATAGTTTCCCCCATTATCAACATCTTTTAACTATAGATCTTTTTACTGTCTCATAGTTTTGCCTTTTCCAGAGTCATGCGTGAACTATGTATATTTTCAGATTAGCTGCTTCTTCTCTTTCCCCTTCTTTGTCCTCCTTCCCATCTTCTTCCTCTTCCTCTTCTTCTTCTTTGCTCTCTCTCTCTCTCTTTCTCTCTCTCTCTTGAAAGAGGGTCTCCTCACATCTTTTCCAGGCTGGCCTGGAACTAGTGATCCTCCTGCATCAGCCTGCTGAGTGTTGAGATTATAGACGTGTCCACATGCCCACCAGTTCATTTTCTTGACGGTGTCTTCACATAGCAGAAAATTTAAATTTTAACAAAGTCCAAGATACCTATTCTTTTTTTCATGGTTTGTACCTTTGCTCTCATATCTAAACAGTCAGTTTCAAACCTGAGATTCTCTACATTTTTGCCTATGCTTTCTAGAAGTCTCATTGTTCTGTGTTTTACATTTAAGTCTATAATCTATTTTAAATTAATTTTTTAAGTGATATAATGTCTGTGTCCAGATTCCTACTTTTTGCATGAGGATGTCCAGTTATTCCAGTATCATTTGCTTAAAATACTATCTTTTCTCCACTTCATTGACTTTTTCCTTTGTCAAAGATCAGTTGAAAAAAAATAAAAAGAACAATAACAAAAAACAATCAGTTGAGGGCTGGTAGAGTAGCTCAAGAGGTAGAGTGCCTTCCTAGCAAGTGTCAGGCCCTGAATTAATAAATTCAAACCGTGATACCACACTCACACACACACACACACACACAAAATCATTTGAGTATGTGTATGTGAGTTTATTTCTGAAATTTTATTCTGTTCTTTTTTTCTTTTTTTTTTTGGCAGTACTGGGGCCCCACTCTTGCTAGGCAGGCATTCTACCTCTTGAGCCACATCCCTACGCCAAATGATGGTAAACTTTTTTTTTTTTAAAGTGGTACTGGGGTTTGAACTCAGGGTTTCACACTTGCTAGGCAAGTGCTCTACCCCTTTAACCACACCCTCAGTACTATACTATCTTAATCACTACAGTTTTGTAGTAGAGCAATCACACCTTACCCATAGTTTGAATTACCCCCAGTCAAGCACTGTCTGAAATTATTAAATGGAAAATTCCAGAAATAAACAATTCATAAGTCTTAAATTGCATGTCATTCTGAAGTTTTGCACTGTCCTGCTCCATCCTCCCCCAGAACATGAATCATTCTTTTATTCAGTATACCCACACTGTAGATATACTATACTACTACTTGTTAGTCACTTAGTAGCTGGGTTATTAGGTCAACTATAGTAATATTACAGTCTGCATTATTCACCTCACTTCATCTCATCATGTTGGCACTTATAATCTCACATCATCACAAGAAGGGGGAGTATAGTACAATATTTGAAAGAAACCACATTCATGTAAATTTTATTATAGTATATTATTATAATTATTCTATTTTATTAGGTATTTTTATTAATCTCTTACTATACCTAATTATAAATTAAACTTTATCATAAGAATGTATGTATAGGGAAAAACATAGTATATATAGAGTTCAGTACTATCTGTTGTCTCAGGCATCCACTGGAGATCTAAGAATGTATTTCCTGCAGATAAGAAGGGACTACTGTATGTCTTGAAGTTCAGTAGTGTCCAGTAGTGTCAGTCCTCCAGATTTGTTCTTCTCTTTCAATGCTGTGTTAGTTATTATGGATCTTTTCCCTCTCCATATAAAATGCAAAATCAATTGGTCAATGTCCACAAAATTACTTGTTAGTATTTTTATTGGGGGTGCATCAAATCTGTAGGTAGATTTAGGGAGAATTTTTATCTTAGTGTATTAAGTCTTCTGATCCATGAACATGGCATGTCTTCCCAATTATGTAAGTCTTCTATTACCTCTCAGAAATGTTTCTGTACTTTCCAATGTATAGTCCTTCCACATCTTTTGTCAGATTTATCCATAAATTCATATTGCTGATACTACTTGTATTAGTCCACTGTTCATAAATGTAACAAAACATCTGACCCTGTGTAACTTTATAAAGAAATGTATTTAGTCTATAGTTTTGGAGGCCAAAAGTTCAAGATCAGGTAGCCTAATTTGTTCAGCCTCTGATGAGGTCCTAAAGCAGACAGCATTACATTAAGAATACATGTAAGAGCAAGAGATCACATCACAAGCTAGGAAAACAGAGAGCAATTCAGGTCATAGGCTTAAGCTTTTGTAACAATTCAATTTTGCCAAAATAACTCAGGGTTCCATGAGAGTTACCCTAATCCCCTCTGAGGATATACCCACAATGACCTAAAGACCTCCCAGGTCCTACCTGTTAAAGGTCCTACAACATCACCACCTTCACACTGAAAACTAAGCCTCCAATACCTGAACCTTTGGGGGCCAAAACACATTCAAACCATAGCACTACTGTAAGTGGTGTCATTTTTTATATCTCAAATGATGACTGATTGTTGCTAGTATAAATAAATACAATTTTTATATTTTGATCTTAAAGTCTATAATACTACTAAAGTAGTTCCATTTATTAATTCTATTGGCTTTTTGTGTTGATTCCATCAGATTTCCAGTATACATAGGAAATCATGTATGAGCCCAGTTCTTCTCTTCCCCTTTCTGTTCCCTGCTAACCTCTCCCCATCCTCACTCCATAATGTGCACAATACTCACGTGTTTCCTCCCCCAGCAGCACACAATCACCTAAAACTCTCCTCAAACTGCCTCTCTCTTTTAACTAGGGACTGAACATAAAATAGCTGAAAAACATAAATGATCATAGTTACATGTGGTAGAGTATTATTAAATAAATATGCAAATTCAATCATGCCACAAATTCTCATAAACTCTCATAAAATTTAAAGCCCATATATTTTAATTTTGATGATATATTAATACAAAAATATTTGAAATCATTTAAAATATCATCCTAAAAATTAGAACTTTTTGTGCTTAAGGCCTTTGTAGAAAATATTCTGTTGTATCCTAATAATAATTTCTTAGTTACTGACTTTTTTGTACATATTAAGAAGATAGCGATAGTAGAAGTAGTACTGGAGGTTGTCAGAAAACTTTCAAGACAAAAAACACAATTATTACATGTAAGCATAATAATGCTTTTCTCGTATTGGCAAATAAAGTGGACAGTTCTCTCCTTCTGAACATCACTGCTACATGTTATAATCTGTCACCACTTCCTTCTTGAAATCCTTCTCACTGGCTCTAATATAACATTTTTTGTGTTTTTTCATGTCTCTAACTATGCTTTCTGTCTCCCTTGAAAGATTTTTACCTCTCTCCACTTCTTAATGTTGTTTACCCCAAGGCTACAGTCTTTCTCCTTTCCTTCTCACTCTTCAATTTTTTTTTTTTTTTTTTTTGGTAATTTAGTGTACTTTTGTTGTTTAAATTACTTCTTTAGCCATCTCTCTTCACACTTCATTCCCACTTTATCAGTCATACTGAAATACTGGAATAACTCAAGCCTTGGCTAGCTCCCTCATCTTAAGGTTTTCATTTCTCATCTTAAGGTTTCATTCCCTTATCACTTAGCTAC